CAGATGATTGGGTATCCCATTACTGCTGAATCCCCAATTCTCATCAGACCCAATTTATTTTTACCCTATGGGGAATCCAGAACAGCATAAAGCTGGCAGTGAAGGAGAAAGTAAGGACCATTCTTTGGAAGGGTTGATGAGGTTCAGGTACTTGAATGTACTCGTGGCTTCTGGTTTTGAAGGACTCAGTGATATGGCTTCTGATCATCGATCCAAGTGTTTGCAGCAAGAATGAAGATACACTCCTCCATTCAAGACTGAGACCCAATAGGTTACTATCCCCTTCTGTTGGGGAAGGGATTCCTGCACATTATTTGATCTGAAGGACACCTACTTCCAAATTCACATCAAAAAGTCTAAATTGAGGTACCTGTTTTGCATGTGATAGCCAAAAAACATAAATTCCAGTTCAAGGCCATGCCATTTGGCTCACCACTACTTCGCTGGTTTCACCAAACTGTTGCAGGTCATTGGGAATTTCCTGCATATGGATACCCAGAGTATGGATGTTCACATCTATTTCAATGACTCCTTCATTTTGCACAGGACCAAGGATTCATTAGTGCAGGCTAATGAAACAGTCCCGGAACATTTGTATAAGGTAAATTTCAATCTGTCCACAGGAAAGACTTAGGTGTTAACTTCTAATGACTTTTCAAGGGCACCATTCTAACTGGTTCCCATGCAATGCTGGACATTTTTCTGCTACCAGAGGTTTATTAGTGAACAAGTTTACAGTTCAAGTGTGTTGGTTCCTCAGAATTCTGGGCTACATCAACTCTGTGGTGCATGTAGTCCCCTGCAGGGTTGTTTTTACATAGACCCCTGCAAATGTTCTTCCATTTTCTTGTCAACCAAGATCCTGCTTACAGGGACTGTGAAGTCAATACTTCCTTTGATCCTGTCAATGAACAATTTGCTTATTTGCTTTTATGTTGACTCTTCAGGACTATTTACTTCAGACAGTGCCTCTACACAGGCCAAGCTCCAACACGATGGGACATGGATGCTTTCAGACATGGTGGGGTGCTTACCTTGATGACAATGCCAAATAAGGCAGCAGTCAGAGGATCAGCTTTCAGAGCACACTGATGTGCTGGTGATGACAGCGGTCTTGTTGGCTTTGCAGTCTCAAGTCATTGCCTGGCATATACAATAGTTGGGTTTACCTGCAAATGCAGGTGCTTAAATTCTCCACTATCAGGCATTGCAGCTTTTACAGGAGGTCTAATTAAGGCAGGGTTTCCAGTAGATGTGTCAAATCACATTGCATGATCATTCAGATCTTCCTCTTCTGCCATCTACTAGTCGAAAGGATCTAACAAATTTAACAATAAGTGTAAAATAATTACCTTTGCAACCTAAATTTTATGTTTTTACTAATACAATTTGGAGTATTCAAAAGATTTCAAAGTAGCTGGCTTTATCGATGAAGTATATATGTAGATGACACTGGGATTGTAGGAACAATTGCATGCTGGTAAAATTGATTACCACCATGGCCAGCTCTCAATAGGAAAGAGTGTGAGAGAGAGTAGTGGCCCAACCTCAAATAGTCCTTTGTCTTGCCCAGGTGTATTTTTGAAGTTTAGAAGACTGGATACGGTTTTTTTTGCTTCTTTGAAATACTTCAAGATTTTTTTTGTATGAAAATATACATACAGTTCCTGGCTCTAGCTTCAAATAACTAGTGAAATGCATCAGCCCCGGTTTATCTAGCTAGAACACTTTGATAATGTAGCAGATTTAATTAAATCACCAATACCATTACATTGCAATCATGTTGAGTATCAGTAATCATCATCATGACTGTTATAAGGGTTTATTGCCTAAATGAATGCACATGCTCTATATAAGGTCATAAGCAATAAATGACATTCTCTGTAACTGACAGATAAATGATTTGTTCTGAGCCAATAGCTTGTTGTACCTGGTTTTGTTTTTTTGACAATTTCCCTGTCAGAATGAACCAACAAAACATGATGCCAACATTGTATGCCAAATGCAATTGTCTCGCCAACTCCATGTCATCACAGCCAATCAGGTGAGATTGGACCTTGACACCTGATCAGTTTGTTACTGAATTAGGACATCACTGCAGCTGGTAATGAAAGAGTAGTTTGAGGTTTGGAATAAAACTTGCTAAACATGTTTACATACATAATATAGCAAGTCAAATGCAACTTGTCTACAGGCTAGGTTTGGATTTGCAAAATATAACAGTTGCAAACTGGGCACAAAATAGTTATTTCAACTGCCTGCTCAGGACGAACTGCGCGCTTCAGTGTCAGACTTTGGGAAATGTTTTCCTTTTGGGGACGATAAAAAAGACCATTTCCCAGCGCATTTTAATTCTATAATTATATGCTAAAAATGGTAGCTAATGAAACATACCGGAATACTGCAGACATTTTACTACAAATAGTGAGATTGCACACTGCTATTTTATGCATGTACTCTAAAATTTAAAAACTCAGTCAAAAGAACAATTTGTGCATGAGTACGTAGTATAAAAAGTATTTTTTACCTGTGATGACAGTATTTGATTGCTTCATATAAACCAATTGTAGTTAAATATACAGATGTACCTGTACACATTAAACCAACATCTGTACCAACACAGAGTGTAACCAGTAAGCTTGCAACAAATCCACTTCATGTAGCCATGTTGGATTATATATACCACTGAATGTTACTTCAGGAAATCAATAATCTTGTACATAGATTTTGAGAGTTTACAAGGGTCTGTAAGGAGTAAGTGTTATCAAGGGTTTTAGTTTGTCTAAGTTATGACCAGATAATGTAGATTTGGAGAATGTAGTCAAAGTGTATTGAATAGTACTGACTATTGTACTTGTTTAAGATAAAGGGGAGAAGACCACAGGATGCGAAATAATGAAAAAGTAAGCAGTGCATGCAATATACGTTTTGTAATACCAGTTCAGAAGGCAGGGTTTTTCCTGCCTATATTTTAGGTTAAACTAGAACACTGACAGGTCAGTAAGGGCCCCGTCTTGTGGCAATATATACCCCATAATCATCAAGAAGTAATCTGCCCATATAGCTGAGCTTGACTTTTGCTATTTGGACTTCAAAAAGAATCGCAAGGAAGCAAAATATACATTTTACATGTACTATGATGTGAGTCTTGTTTCCTTCCACCTCCATATTTGCTGGGCTAACAGAAATGTAAATACCGGTGCAATACTCATTTGTTAGCTTTGATTTGTTTTATTTAACCTTATATACCTCCTCAATCAAGAGCCAGGTTCAAAGTCAGAGATCCACTTTGTCTTTGACCTTTGGACCCAAATGACTTTGACCATTAACCCAGCGACCCTGATCTTTGGTCAGTTGACTTATTCTTTAATTCCGACCAACTTTGCTTCGTAATATCATAACAAAATGTTCACCAGTGAAAAGCATTGAAAGAAGCTCCAACGAGCTTTCCAATGATGGAAGATACTGTACATGTGAATCCATCTGACCAAAAGCAGACCATGTCATAATCTGAAAGAATGATGTCAGTTTTTTTAAAGACACATGGTCAAACTTGATTTTAAATTTGATCTGTTTATAATCTGAAAATGCATGTTAAATTTAGCCTTGACAATAATACTTCTGATAAATCACAAAGAAAATTGTAAATTACACATTTTCACACAGTTTATCTTAACGAAAATGTTTTTTTTTTTTTACTGAAATGGATGACAGACCCAGATGAATAAACATAAAAAAGAAAGGAATGTACTATAAAACTTTTTGTTTTCATATTTTGTCCAGACCATACACATTTTATTAAGAAAAAAATATATAGAATGAAATTAACTCCCAATTTACATTTTGACATTTCCAGAATACTTCCATTAGGTTTTCTGTCCCATGACAACTCCTCTCTGTATTCTTATACATTTTCAGCTTTAAAAAATGAAATAATACAGAGATGGTTTCAGAATAAATGTATGGGATAATAATATCTAAATACCCTAATTTTACACTGTTATTAAAGCTGTCAAATGCACACACATGATACATGAAAATGACTGACATAATTATATATAAAAGCAATCAGGTTGGTAAGTCATGTGACTTTTGTCAATTATCGTTCAATAACAACACTACCAATCAGTGATTCTTGCAGATATTTTCATGTGAGTCCTGGACATTTTGGCAAGTCCCATAACTATAAAACAAAGTGGGTTCTCATAAGATTATTACAGGTCATACAGGGAAAGGCGATAAATCTAGGACCCAAATAACCAAGTTCCAAAAATTACTGTCAATGAATAGTCAAATTTACAAAATATACCATTCATTTCAGCTTTTAATGTAGCCCAATTAATATAGTCAACCATTCTAAGGGAGATCAGACATATTGTTTACATAACAATTTATTTTGAAATCATTTTTAAATGTTGATTAACTCACACAAATTTCCTCTGCAGATTTTACAAAAAGCATTAGAAATATATTTGATATGCAATAAAAATCACATTAATAATTTATTTACAATCTGTACTGAAATAAAGGAGTGAATGCATATTTGTTACATAATTTCATTCCTAAAATAGTAGTTACATTCAATAAAATATCCATTTCATAAAATATGTGCAAAAACTAATGTCGACAACAATGTATGTATATATATATATACAAAAAAATGTTCAATAATTCTTGTGAATATAATTCTAAAATAATAAAGGCCCTGTTAGCAGCAATGAACTGTACACAGATTATTGATCTGGGCGTCCAGCATACACTGACATGTGTAGAGCTTGGAGAAAAGGGAAGAATCACACAGTTCTGTCACAGGATACATCTGCCCATAACCACCATCACAAAATCAACAGCAGCATTCAGCATCATTATACTGTAAACCAACATGTTATGCCCATGTGTGCATGTGTATAATAATATAATGAATATACTTACACTAATGTCAAGGTAGGGGCTGAGATTTATGGAAATCGATATCACCAGTAAAAGCATTTAAAGGATACATCCGCAAAGAACCTGTCTTCGTTCCGATCGCTAAAAGATGTTGGACAGGATCGAATGCAACCGCTGTCGGTTGATAAGGAAACCCATGACGAACAGTCTGTAATGACAACAAAATAAACCAGAACGTTAGAATAGAAATATTAACCAAGAATTTCTATAATTTATGCTTGATAAAATGTCATTACAACATATACGTTTTTACTATTTAGCATTTCTAATGTTATGTTCACCAACCTTGCAAACTTGAAAGTGGTCCGTTCTCAATGTCTCCTCGACTTCATTCTCAAATTTCGGGGGTGCACTCACAGATGACCTTATGCCATCAAGCACCCCCTTTAGAGTGAATTTCTTCATCTTCGATTTGTGTTTTGCGTCCATTTAAGTCCCCATACTCCAATATATACTCTCTTCATATCGCCTACTATGCAGTATTTTCTCTGCGGTTTAGCTGGCGAATGAATAAGATCCCGGATGGATATCCCGCTATGCTCTAAATATTGATTTTCCCATTTTACGAAACGTCTAACATCAATATATAAACGGAAATAAAATATAATGATATATTATATATGAATTTTTAATTGATCATATTGTTAAAGCATTATCATTTATCTAGAATAACTAGAAGAATACATATATAATGTGCTCATATAATGTTTTAACTAGCTTAGTAAAGTATCGTAAGAAATGTACGGTTCGTTTGTTTTTTTGTATTTTGTAAAATGATTTTGACGAGCACCTGCAGTTTTGAGCTTCTGCTAAGGCACATGTAAACATTGCGTGTATTACTGGTCATTTTCTGCGTTATCCTCTGCAATTCAATCTGTCAGCTTTTCAGGTAGTATCTTTGATGTTTTATTGTAACTAAACTTGCCTTTAAGAATGACGTTACCTCCATGTCACGCAGGATAGACCTATAGAGTGCAATTTAAGAAGGGCAAAATGAGCCGGTTCGCCGACCTATGGTGACGTTTTACTTACACGTAGCCAAAACTCTAGACTTGTATCATTTAAGGATCATGATATAATTTCCAAAACCTGCTTGTAATATACTGAAATTTTCTCAAACTGTATCAATATGTTCAAAATATTTGTTCCGGCTGTAATCTGGATCAAAAACAAATACAAAACATCGCAAAAAGTTCGCAACAGCATACACAGATTTATTCTGACAATATACATGAAATATGTACAAATATTAACAATCCTTTGATAGTCAGCTCGTAGTATACTTAATTATAATTTTAAAGTTCACAGCTTGATTTTTTCTTTGACACAATACTTTTGTGGCTGAATTTTCCAATGTTCATCAAGTTCGTACTCAAATTGTTTAACTGAAATCGCATTTACAACATTAAATGGAAGGCTATTCCACATATCTACAATTCTCTGCGTGAAAGAATATTTCCTCACACCCAACCTTGAAAACTCGATATATATCTTATGAGTTATGTGTGCTTTACCCTTCGCTGACCGAAAACATGTCTGCGACTTCTCTGTCATATTTCCTGGAAATTATTTTCTATACATCTATCATGCCACCATGTGATTGCCTATATGCTAATGTTAGTTAAGTGAGAGTTTTTGCAAACATTCCGTATAAGACAGATTAGAAAGACCTGGTACTTATTTTGTTGCTCAACGTTGAACATTCTCGATTGTTGCTACAGGTTTTTTCTAAATGAGGGCATCAGACTTGAACAGCATATTCAATATGAGGTCTGACTAAAGCTGTGTATAACAGTTTGAAACTGTGTGGGTTCATGTACTCCATTGTCCTCCACAATACTCCCATGATCGAATTTGTTTTGTTAACCTTTTCACAGATATGTTTATCGAGTGTTAGTTTAGCATCTATTGGTGACACCAATATCCTTCTCCGAGTCCACAAATTTTAATGGTTGGGCATTTTCCTTCAGTGTGTAGCTACCATGCATCATTTTACATTTGTCTGGATGGAAACCTAGTTGCCAGGTGTCTGACCATTGGTTTAACGAAAATATATCTTGTTGCAAAATCTTACAATCTTCATCCTTTATTGCTCTAAAAGCTTTCGTATCATCCACGAAAAGGTAAAGTGTCTGTTACTGCGCTTGTTACATCGGGCATATCATTTATATATAATACAAAGAGAAGTGGTCCCAACACAGATCCTTGTGGTATACTGCTTATTACTGGATTCCATTGCGACTTTTTCGCCGTTCACTACGACCCTTTGTTTCCTTTCAAGCAAAAAGTCTTCTATCCAAAAGGAAAATTGACTAGCAATCGCGAGTTTATGTACAAGTTGATGATTAGGTACTTTATCAAACACTTTCATAAAATCACAGTATATGATGACATCCAAGCATGCACCTTCATGACATTGAGAAACTGCAGAATCGTTGATCTGCCATCTATGAAGCCAAACTGAGCTTTACTGAATAGCTTATTTCTCCTCATGTGGCTCATAATTTCATCCCTAATCAATGACTCCGGTGTCTTACAGACAACGCTAATCAGACTTACTGGTCTATAGTTTGAAGCCTCCTTCCGGTCTCCTTTTTTGAATATTGCCGTTATATTAGCACATTTCCAGTCACCTGGTAATTTCCCAGTGTCGATAGATGTTTGAAATATGAATGCATTGCCATATAACATCACAAGTTTCTTTTAGAACTCCAGGATGGATCATATCCGGTCCTGGAGATTTTGAAATTTTCTATTTCATCAGTTTCTTTTGTACGTTTTCTGGGGAAATATTGAGTTTAGTCATTGGTATTCACATCTATCTTTTCAATCTCTGGCATATGTTTGATCATTATCTTTTGTAAACACTGTTGAAAAAAAATCTGCGAGTACACTGGCTTTTTAGCCCACCATCATCTGATAGTGGGCTATTCAAATCACCCTGCGTCCGTGGTCCGTGGTCCGTGGTCCGTGGTCCGTCTGTCCTTAAACAATTCTTGTTATCAGTATTTCTCAAGAAGTTCCAAAAGGGACCTTTCTCAAATTTTATATGTAGGTTCCCCTTGGTCATTAGCTGTGCAGGGCAACTTTTGAGACTGATCGGATAACAACATGGCCGACAGGCAGTCATCTTGGATTTTGATAGTGAAAGTTTGTTATCAGTATTTCTCATGTAGTACCGGAGGGATCTTTCTCAGATTTTATATGTAGGTTGCCCTTTGTCCTTAGCTGTGCAGTTAACTTTTGAGAATGATTGGATAAACAACATGGCCGATAGGCAGCCATCTTGGATTTTGATAGTGAAAGTTTGTTATCGCTATTTCTCGGGAAGTCCCAGAGGGATCTTTCTCAATTTTTTTATGTGTTGGTTTCCCTTGGTCCCTAGCTGTGCAGGGCAACTTTTGAGACAATCTGATTAAAATCATATGTTACATGGCTTCGTTAACTTCGTACTACGCCTGAACATCTGAGTGTGCCGCAGTCAGGGTCACGTTCAGGTGACCTTTATATTTATCGATGAGAATGATACGAAAGTTCTGAAGTTATTTGAGATTGATCGTCTGAAACCCGAACAGAAAAAGATATTCAAAGCTTTATTAGAGAAGAAAGACTGTATGGCGGTGTTGCATACGCAAGTATTACCCAATGGGTACGTTTTCCTTGGCATCGTAGAAACGTCAGTTCCCGCCGCCATTTTTGTTTTGGAAAACTAATCTGTTCGATACCCCTCGCTATTTATCTATCAACCATGATATTCCGATTCGCTGGCAAACGTTTGCCAGCGCACCTCTGATTGGTTCATCTAAAGGTCACTTGAACGTGACCCTGACCACAGCATATTCAGATGTTCAGGTTGAGTTATGTTACAGAAGATTTTAATCAGATTGCTTTTGAGACTGATCGGATAAACAACATGGAGGACAGGCAGCCATATTTGATTTTGATAGTGAAAGTTTGTTATCGCTATTTCTCGGGAAGAACCAGAGTGATCTTTCTCAAACTTTATATGTAGGTTTCCCTTGGTCCTAAGCTGTGCAGTGCAATTTTTGAGACTGATCGGATAAACAACATGGCCGATAGGCAGCCATCTTTGATTTTGCTAGTGAAAGTTTGTTATTACTATTTCTCGGGAAGTTTGGGATTGATCTTTCTCAAATTTTACATGTAGGTTCCCCTTGTTCCCTTGTTGTGCAGCAGTGCCTGAAATGGACGGTCGCCTGCTCACCAATGGCGGTTAAAGTCTTGCTCGAGCAACCAAAAGTTGTAAAAAGTGAGGTAGTCACTGGCCCAACAAAAATGTTTTGGGCAACTGTCGAAAACTTAATGAATAAAAGAAATTATAGTCCCTTCCCCATTAACTGGGGGCAGTACATTTTTCAGTTGTTATTACTTCAATTTGAATGGAACTGTCTGATTTAGCAAATGTGATTATTTTTTTCTTCAGATTTACTATATAAACACTGCCAGGGTGTCTTCTTTGAGGTGCAAGTTTTTTGTATTTCTTTTCGGGAAGACCTGAATGGAGTGGATCATGTCAGGTTTTAACTAGGGTTGAAGATTTAAGAATATAATGTTTTATTCTGTTTTACATATTACACACATTGTCATGTTACGGTATATGTAATTTAAATATGCTGAAGCATTGTGTTAAATGCTGTGGAAATATTTCTTGCCAAAATTATTTGGGCCACCAATATTGTCATTTGGGCCAGTGCTTCAAATTTTTTACTCACGTTCACGTTTACTTTTGAAACTGATCAGTTAAACAAAATGGCCTACTGACAACCATCTTCAATTTTTGACAGTGCAGGTTTGTTAATACTATTTCTCAGTAATAACTTGAGGAATCTTTCTCAAATTTGATATGTAGGTTCCTCTTGATCCCTCTGTGCATTTTATATTTTGAGACTGATCATAAAACAAAATGGTTAAAGGAAGAATTAAACAGATCTTTCTCATATTGCAATGATCGATTCTATTTCTTTCACATTAAGTACTGTACTAGTAAATATGTGAAATGACAAACTCACTTTGAAGGTTGGCTTTCATACACATCAGTAAGTTTAGATCAAAAGTTACCTCAAGGTGCATTTACTGTTCAAACAGATTAGAGGAAAGAAGAGAAAATATCGAACTGACAAAGAACTAATGAAGATGGTACAATGGTGGGCGCCAAGATCCCTCTGGGATCTCTTGTTTAAACATCTTCTGATTAAAATAACTAAGTTATGATGTATATTTGTTGATAAGCACATTTTGAAATGTGATCAATTTTATTACAGCTATGAGGAACTGGAAAGCTGGACTGGCTGTGCTGAAGGCCTTGAGGGGTGTGACATCTGTGTCTGTCTGTCATTCTAAAGTAACATGGTGAGTAGGCTGTTAGCTACATCTTTGGATCACTTATTGCAAGCAGATCAAATTGGCAAACAAAAAGTAATTCAAATAAAAAATAGCCTGAAGGGTAGAGCTGTCACGATACACTTTACCCATGATTCGATACGTATCTCGATATTTGTACCACGATTTGATTATTTCGATTCGATACACCGTTATTTTTAAATATAAACAAAATGAGATATATAAGCCGTCGATACTCAGAAACCCGCAGTGTTTCCACACTTTTGAGGTGCGCTATTTTGTTATGAATGCTTTGTGGAAATTGCATCCTCACATTTGATTGGTTGAGGGTTTAGAGATCAGCCAATGAAATTGAACGTCTCACAGACGTTTCAGCAGAAGCGGCATACACTAATATTCAGATCATGACGTATCGAAAATCCGGAAAAATATATCATGAATCGAATAGAACTTAAATAATCGCAGTACAAGTGCATCGCGGTGAATCGTGACGTTGCTATTGAAGGGGCAGTATGTGAATATGGATATAGTTCCAGTGTCACCACCCTCCAATGTATTTATGATAGTGATGGAACCTCATCAAAATTGATATATAAAGATGATTTAGTTTAAGTATGAATACATTTTGACTGATTTGTGAGTACAGGTGCTTAGTGTCTAGTGTCAGACCTAGTTTTGAAATGTTGATATAGATATTGTTTATCTTGTTGAGTTATCACTTTATTAAGTATTTAGTATAAGTTTGAAGGAGTGATATGTTTTGAAAGTTTCTACTGTTCCTAAATAATAATAAAATGAATCCTATATTGATACAATACTGCCCTTAATATAACAAAATATAATTCAACTAGAAATTGTTGGCTAACAATTTGACGGGCTTTTCACTGTAACGACTGATTTGGTCTCCTAATAATAACTTGTGCAAGTCTACAGTAGCTTACTGAGTAGTTGGGGATTCCCGGAGTGCGAAATGTCGTCAGAGAAAGAACGGATAAATAACGGCAGCCAATGGGCAGTGTTGTATATGAAGGTAGTCCGTAAGAGTCATATAGTCCGTCCACTATGTACATCAGGATGATGAATTTAGACTAGCTTTTTGTCTATCGGTCAGGTTTGCCATGCCAATGAAAGGCTGATGTTTACACNCTAGAAACAATACAATACAAATTGTAGCTTTGGTGATCAACACATTTTAATGAAATAAAAACACAATTGCAACAATAGAAATATGAATAACTGTCTGTTTACGTTAATCTTGGTGTCCGATAATATGGCCTATGTCCATTTGATGATTCTATCACATGTCCATCTGATCAGCTTCACTTATGGTCTGATGCTCATTTGACAAATTAATTTAATCAGAATCAGAATCATAAATAACGCGAATGCGTTTTCTTGTATTGTTATTACCATAGTTAAACACCACATCACCATTAATGGTTGCACCAGAACACATACTGGGGCATTCTGTTTTATATTATATGATTACCAGTACACAACAAGATTATCTTATGATGTTCTGATCATACTTCGCTTCGTCGTGTTCCTTCACCATGTTTTATTTGTCAATAAAATCGTCCAACTCCATTATCCTATTTGCCAACGAGTTCAAAATCATCTCACCTTGAGCCGAATGCGACATTTTTTCATAGAATCTCGTCTGCTGCGCACGCATAGAAATGGCACGATAACTCCAGATGTGTTCCGGACTGAATGGTCACAAGGTGTTCCGAAAATCCTGATATTCATTTTCCGACCGGCCGGTCTGATACATGATATGCATTTTCCGACTGGCCGGTCTGATATGGGTCACATGATTTTAGTCGTATCATATTGGGCGGGAATAGCGCATTTAGTAGTAAGTATGTGATAAAAGAATTGTAGCTTGGTGGGGGAGGGTTATCAATTTCATTAGAAAAATTCCTTGAACTACATTTAAGGTCATAGGAATCAGATTTGTTAAAATCTTCAAATGACTTTGTGTATACCCTCCACTTAGTGAAAGAGGTAATCGCTTTGTCAATGTGTCTGTCCATGTGTGTGTGTGTGTGTGTGTGTGTGTGTGTGTGTGTGGTGTTTGCATGCATGCATGTGTGTGTGTCCATAGTAAAAAGCTTATGTACAAGATGTCTAATGGACCTCTCAACACACCATAGTGTGGCAGTATAAAATTCTTCTTCTAAACTTATTTTGGTATTCTTCAGTGGAAGTTTAAGGGTCAAATGTCAAGGTAAAAGATCATAATTTACTATATCTTACTATATATTTACAATATTTTCCTCCTTTTCAAGTAAATAAATTGTGTAAAAGGTATCTGAAGTATTCTCTACAAATTTAGTTTATATTTCACACCATAGTGTGGTAACATTGAGTTCTACACCTGGTGGTTTGATTTTGGTTGTCATTGGTCAAGGTTAAAGGGTCAAATGTCACAACATCTGTCCATATATAGTAAAAAGGCTTGTGTAAATAATATCTCCTAAACCCCTGAGGATGTTTTATATATATATATTACTCCATAGCATGTTAATATCAAGTTCTAAACCTGACCAGATTTTGGTGGTCATCAGTCAAGTTTAAAGGGTCAAAGTTTACTGTTAAAAATCAAACTTAATGACTTTTGAAAACTGGTATACAAGATATCTCATGAAACCCTTGATTTAGTTTAAATTGACAGCATCCTACGGAAACTTTGCGTTTTATACTGGATTAGATTTTGGTAGTCATCTGTCAAAACTAAAAAGTCAAAGGTCAAAGACAAAGCATCTGTCCGTAGTAAATAGGTTAAAGGGTCAAAAGTCACAGACAAAGCGTCCATTCATAGTAATTAGGTTCAAGGGTCAAAGGTCACAAGCAAAGCAGGGTGAGGGGAAAGAGGTGGTGATAGGGGTCTGCTCACTCTGTTTTTATTCTGATGAGTTATTAGTCCTTAGTAACGACACATTACTTTTGGTTTGCTAGAGTGATTGTGTAAATAAATATCCTTGCTTGCATTCAAAGTCAATTTAAGAGTATATATGATCGAATCAACAGCTGCCGTTATGCACGGACCTTCAATAATAATATTTTGCTTGTAAATTGTTGGGGCAAAAGGTTGTCCAAATAAAATATCTTTAAGAAATAATCAACATGTGTGTGTGCATTACGGTGGAATATATAACGAGGATGAGAAAATGTTGGTAAAAATAATTAACGAAGGCCGCTTCGGCCTGAGTTAATTATTTTTACCAACATTTTTGAATCCCGAGTTATATATTCCCCCATAATGCACGCACATTAGTTGATTATTTTTATTCTACCATGTCAAATGTAACTAATTGTAAAGTTTTGCTGTCTTATAAGGCGACATGACCTAGATAATTTGATATGCAAATTAGACGCTGTTCTTTTGCGCGTGCAAGATTTATCACGTGATCGTGTTGCTTTGTTTTAACTTGATCAATGTCGCGCCAACATTTCTCAGTGCGTAGGGTTGGGATTCGTTGGGATATTGTGAGCCGTGTTATTGTGTATATTATGCATTGTATTGATATGTTTGTACTGATGGGCCGTAAGGCCGAAAGTTAATAAATGAATTGAATTGAATTGATTCCGGGATTGCGTTTACTTTTAAAACCATCATTATCGTACCGATATCAAGTGGATTTTCTTGGAAGTGCCAGTGATACAACATCATACGATAGGCCTGACATGAGTTGGCATATTTAGTTGGTTGCCATGATGTGATGGAAAGTCGCTGACCGGCTGATCATGACGCGACCTTCACCTTCACCGACTTCACCGGACAGCTGTGTTTTGCAACCACTGTTCAGACCAATGCTACTTATTGCAACATTATTCTTCACACACGGTATGTTTGAAAGCAGACGACGTTTTGCAGACCAGAAACAACTGAACACGCGTGACGTCAGATACGATGTTTATTTCAATCAATCAAACATTGGCTTGCTATCGACATCGTTCGTCAAAACATGAAATCAACGCTTGACAGTACATACACACACTGCACACATTGTGAAATGTACGGCACTACCCAGTGAAGTAAAAACAGAAGTAATTAATAATTTACCATTTTGTCTTCAGACCTGTACATTTTAAATGTCAATAATTAATAAACCATTTTCCCTGCACGGACCCACCTACTTTAGGTCTATAGATCCGTGTAGTCTTTTGAACTGTAGGCCTGTCAAATATTTTGATCCTGCCTGACAGTTATGCTATTTTTGTTAATTCATGATAAAATACGGGGAGGTTGTTGGAACAGCATGCATGCGCACTATTTCACGTGCATTGGTTATTGGCACGCGCATGGTATATCGCTCAATAATGCACTCTTTTTAACCAATGAAAACCGTCGTTACATCACAGACGTGGTAGAATGCCTAATATTAAATATTAAACTAAGGTGATCACATGTGAAGAAAACTTGAAACTCAAAGTACTGCAAAGTCTAAAGATACTTGACCTTTAAGAGGGAAGGACAGTTCAACATAAGATTGTTCAAATAAATGATAAAATCCAGTATGACCACTCTAGCCTCTGGATTGGTAAATTCATGTATTAATAGCATTTCAGCTCTAAGAATAGTTGTCATCAACATGAACTGACAGGGGAGTGTATTATAAAGATCTAGGCGTCTTGTTTCATAACAAGGATCACTATTTCATTATGTGATAACACTTCACTGTTTACTCTTTAGTTGTGTTTACTGTGAAAACCATGAAGTAAAAATACACCAATGACGTTTTGTTTTGTGTCAAATCTACCTTGTTGTGGCTATGTATATTAAAATTCTTACTGGTGATGACTTCACAGCTTTTTATTTATATAGGTAAATATAAAATCAGCATTGATTGTTTTTCTGTTATTGCAGCATGAAGTAAAAATACACCAATGACGTTTTGTTTTGTGTCAAATCTACCTTGTTGTGGCTATGTATATTAAAATTCTTACTGGTGATGACTTCACAGCTTTTTATTTATATAGGTAAATATAAAATCAGCATTAATTGTTTTTCTGTTATTGCAGCATGGCATGATGTCATGACTATTTTATGATGCATGTGTTGATGATAAAAAGGGCACCTGTGTTTATACATGGGTACTGTAAAGAAATATACATGAACAAAACTGATTTATCAACTCCTTGGGCCTGAGAGATGAGACAACTTTAATTTGGTACTATAACAATATGTGCAATAAGTAAACATAAAATTAAGATACACAAATAAAGCTACCAGCATTAGCTCCAGGTTGGGCACCACCCCTAGGATCTTGGTAGGTCCCTTGGTCATAACATGGGATTGGTTTCAAGATCTCCAGTCTATCACCATATATATATACAATTGCTTCAAATGAAGAGACAAATTCATATATGCTACCAGGACTAACCCTGGGGTTTGTCCCTTCCCCTTGGAGTTAGTTCCTGGGTTACAACATTGAGAAATTGAGGTCCAAACCCTACACTATAAGAACATGTATTTACAAAGCATGAATTTAAAGATTTAAACTATAATCATGCTTTTAGATAAGCCCTGCTTTCTGGCCACCCATGTTTGTAACATTACTTCCAATGAGAATATTTTGGCATCATTGCTTTACAATACAGGACCTTTGGGCTTCTTGTTTGTAATTTGCTTTGTGTTTTGTGCTACTTCAAAACCAATCTCCCTACTTCAAAATACATATCTCCCTACAATGTGTTCTGGTCATCACATGTATTCCAGGGTCTGTAGTTTATTGATTTTGAAATTAAAACAAATACATTTTCTGCTTCCTAATACTGGACCAGTTGTAACTGATAATGCTGAAATTATTAAATGATTATGTAGAACCCCCCTCCCCGTTTTCCCTATAGGGCAATTAATCCCTCCTTATATGTGATATTTGTTTATGGATATGTAACCAAAACAATCCTCAGATATACCTGTCACCATTTCTACTTACATAGAAAGGTCAATAAGGGCTAAATCTTCATGTGTCAGGTAAGTTAAACAAAAGCAGTTTATTTAGAAGCAAAGAAAATAGTTAAATTTCTTTTCAAAAAAATGAATGACATCTGATTCTTAATCTCAATTCCTAATTGTTCACACTTCCCTTTGTCCATGGTCTATCGCCTATCACCCATCCATCCTTAACATTTTGAGACTGATTGGACAAACAAGATGGCCACTATGCAGTCATCTTGTATTTGGACACCGGAAGATTTAGCCCATCGTGTATTTTGATAGTTTTATGGAGGTGCGGCATTGAATTTTTGAGCAAGATACTTTACTCTGCTTGTTCCAGTCTACACAGCTGTAAATAAGTACATGGTTGGGCAGCGCTAGAATTTTTTAATGCTAGCTGTGAGCGCCGAAATGGCAGCACCCGCTGTATGCTCTCCAGGGAGTTGAGAAAGATATTGGCTGGTTGCAAAGGCCCTATAACCACGGATATTAATTTGTGAACCGCTCTGAGACGACCTACGGACTAGGTTGTGATAAAGCGATATATAAGAACCTCAAATTAACATTTTGGAGGCACGGTAGTCAAGTGGTAGGACGCCGGGCTCGTGACCGAAGGGTTGCAGGTTCGAGTCACGGCACCGCACTGTGTTGTATCTTTGAGCAGGATACTTTATGCCGCTTGTTCCAGTCTACTCTGCTGTAAATGTGTACTTGGTTGGGCAGTGCTAGAATTGTAGAATGCTAGCTGTGAGTGCCAAAATGGAAGCACCGGCTGTATGCATCCCAGGGAGTTGAGAAAGATATTGGCTGGTTGCAAAGGCCCTATAACCACGGATAATAATTTGTGAACCGCTTTGAGACGGCCTAAGAACTAGATTGTGATAAGGTGGTATATAAGAACCTCAGATTATTAATATTTTTATATAGTTCAAGATTGTTATCACTATTTTTCAAAACTCATTTGAAAGATCTTTCTCTGATTTTGTTTATAGATTCCCTTCAGGCCATAGTTGGTTTTCGACAGTGCAAGTTTGTTATTGCTATATCTCAAGATGTATTTGACAGATCTTTGTATTAAGCTTTCTCTTGCATAAGTCAGTTCTGCCTGTTAGCTAGTTTGCGTATTTCTTTTCAAGCTTTAAGTCAACTGATCAAAAGAAAATTGTGGCTGCCAGAATACAGAAATCTCTCTAGTTCTATATTTTACACATTACTATTTTAGTAAATAGGTCAAACGACAGCCTATCTTTGAAAGGACAGTCAAATCCAGCTGTATGAAGTTTTAATCAAAATTGACTTACCACAAGATTCATTTCCTATTAACAAAACTATCAATCCAACGAATTAAAGAGAAAATATCAAATGTCCACAGGGCAATTGAAGATCTTATGGTAGTAGGTGTCAGGATCCATCTGAGACTCTTGTTATTTTCACTTTAACAGGTGAATGATGAAAAAACTCTAAAATGACATCTAAGAACCTCCTGGAATATCAGGCAACTCCTTATGAACTATTTGGCATAGAATCATGGTAATTCGTCTGTATCTTGCTGGATCGAAAGGATGTCCAAATAAATTATATTGATTCATGTTTTAGGGAACAGGTGTCAAATTAGTCTGCTTAAACTGATCATTATCGCAGGCTCTAAAATTCTGATTGGTCGCCTGTCGATAAACAGAAATTTGGAGCCTGCCTTTATGTTCAGCTAGCAGACTTATAGTATCAAAATGTGTTGAAAATTTCAGAGAACTTCCCCGTAAGAGCTACAAGGTTTGAAAATATTTTACCTGCATGTAGCTGATATTAAAGGGGCAAGTGTGTTCAAAGTTGTGTCCTTTCCTTGCTATAATCAAATGATTGTAATCTTTAAGTCATTAAGTAATCTGTAATGGCCATCATGGTCTTGGAGGAGATGAGAGAATGTCATTGGCACTTTTTTCATTGTAGCAGTCTTGAGTTTTGAAAGTCAGATATAAAAGCTATTTTTAGATACTCACCTGGTATATATGTGTATTACTTCTGTATATTAAACTACATTTTAAACCTTCAATATCTAAGGTGTACAACATTGCGACATGGAAACATTATTTGTCTGATAGTAAAGGAATAACAAAACATTTCCTGCTGGTAAATATGTGATATTATTTGAAAGAAACATCATGGTATCAAACCAACAGCTTTGCTTCTTATGTACAATTTACTCATTTGGTAGGCAATGTGATTTTGCACAAAACATATTATTCCTGCTGGAAAGGAAGTGTTCAAAGGCATCTTGGGATGGAGGAGTACAGAGTGCAAGAAGAAGGTCACTGTGACCTTTGACTTGACCTTTGACCCTAGCTTTCAAAAAAGTTTGTCCGGAGCAAATCTTCTGTGCTACTTCACCTGGACCTTTACTTTTGAAAAAGTTTGTCCGGGGCATATCTTCTGTACTATTTCACCTGGAATAACCAGATTTGGTGTACTAGGACATCTTGGAATGATGTGTTTGTTAAATATAAAAATCATTACTGGTGGGGGACTGGATTGCCTTGCAATACTTTGCCTTGTTTCTAATGTCATACCTGTCAACCTGTGAGGGCTCCAGATCTGGTCTTGACCAGATTAAAATGCACCAATATCTGATCATGGTATGTGAACAGTGAATTGGTGCTTTTAAGGATTTTATTTTGGCCCTTGAATTCTGGATTTTCTCTGTATGGGTGCAGCAAACATGTGAACAATACAGGCCCCAAGCTTCTGAAGTATCATAGGTACTTCTGAGAGTTGTTAGAAATATGATGGCTTGAGTATACAACTTAATGTAACTGTCTATTACAGGGCGGTGTTACTGGGAGGTGCTGTGGGAACAGCAACAGTCTTTCATCTAAAAGATTTACAGGTACATCACATGTCAGCATTGGACTTTTAATTTTATCAGTAATTATTAGATTCACATTATGTTTGTTAGAAGTTCAGTTTTATCACATGTATTCCCTTATTGCATTATTATTATCCCATAATCCTCACAAGGAAAACGTTATGTTCAAATATCTGGATGTCACTTTTAAAAATTAAATTTAGTTATAATGATTACAAAGCATGTGACCTCTTGATATATGAAAAGTAGACATACAACGGTTACTGTAAGCTGTGGAACTGAAAGTAATACACATGAGCAGTACTGTAGGTAATTTTTTTTTACATAAAGGTGCATGCTGTATCCAGAACAGAAATGAAGAGGTCATCATGGATGACTGATCCAGTCACAGACATTGTTACATTGGAGGAGGTGAGTGATCCAGTCAAAGACATCGTTACATTGGAGGAGGTGAGGGATCCAGTCACAGACATTGTTACATTGGAGGAGGGGAGTGATCCAGTCACAGACATCGTTACATTGGAGGAGTTGAGTGATCCAGCCACAGACATTGTTACATTGGAGGAGGTGAGTGATCTGATGTTTAAATAATGTGTCTGACAGTGATATCACTACCTATAAGTAATGTATCTGACTGACATCGCTACCTATAAATAATGTGTCTGACTGTGACATCACTACCTATAAGTAATGTATCTGACTGACATCGCTACCTATAAATAATGTGTCTGTCTGTGACATCGCTACCTATAAATAATGTGTCTGACTGTGCTATCACTACCTATAAGTAATGTATCTGACTGACATCGTACATTGGAGGAGGTGAGTGATCCAGTCACAGATATTGTTACATTGGAGGAGGTGAGTGATCCAGTCAAAGACATCGTTACATTGGAGGAGGCGAGTGATCCAGTCACAGACATTGTTACATTTGAGGAGGGGAGTGATCAAGTCACAGACATTGTTACATTGGAGGAGGTGAGTGATATCCAGTCACAGACATTGTTACATTGGAGGAGGGGAGTGATCTGATGTATAAATAATGTGTCTGACAGTGATATCACTACGAGGAGGTGAGTGATCCAGTCACATACATTGTTACATTGGAGGAGGTGAGTGATCCAGTCACACACATTGTTACATTGGAGGAGGTGAGTGATCCAGTCACATACATAGTTACATTGGAGGAGGTGAGTGATCCAGTCACATACATTGTTACATTGGAGGAGGTGAGTGATCCAGTCACAGATATTGTTACATTGGAGGAGGTGAGTGATCCAGTCAAAGACATCGTTACATTGGAGGAGGTGAGTGATCCAGTCACATACATTGTTACATTGGAGGAGGTGAGTGATCCAGTCAAAGACATCGTTACATTGGAGGAGGCGAGTGATCCAGTCACAGACATTGTTACATTTGAGGAGGGGAGTGATCAAGTCACAGACATTGTTACATTGGAGGAGGTGAGTGATCTGATGTATAAACAGACATTGTTACATTGGAGGAGGTGAGTGATATCCAGTCACAGACATTGTTACATTGGAGGAGGTGAGCGATCCAGTCACAGACATTGTTACATTGGAGGAGGAGAGTGATCCAGTCACAGACATTGTTACATTTGAGGAGGGGAGTGATCAAGTCACAGACATTGTTACATTGGAGGAGGTGAGAGAGCAAGTCACTGACATCGTTACATTGGAGGAGGTGAGTGATCCAGTCACACACATTGTTACATTGGAGGAGGTGAGTGATCCAGTCAAAGACATCGTTACATTGGAGGAGGTGAGGGATCCAGTCACAGACATTGTTACATTGGAGGAGACGAGTGATCCAGTCACAGACATTGTTACATTGGAGGAGGTGGGTGATCCAGCCACAGACATTGTTACATTGGAGGAGGTGAGTGATCTGATGTATAAATAATTGGAGGAGGTGAGTGATCCAGTCACAGACATGGTAACATTGGAGGAGGTGAGTGATCCAGTCACAGACATTGTTCCATTGGAGGAGGTGAGTGATCCAGTCACAGACATGGTAACATTGGAGGAGGTGGGTGATCCAGTCACAGACATTACTACAATGGAGGAGGTGAGTGATCCAGTCACAGACATCGTTACATTGGAGGAGGGGGGTGATCCAGTCACAGACATTGTTACAATGGAGGAGGAGAGTGATCCAGTCACAGACATTGTTACATTGGAGGAGACGAGTGATCCAGTCACAGACATTGTTACATTGGAGGAGACGAGTGATCCAGTCACAGACATTGTTACATTGGATGAGGTGAGTGATCTGATGTATAAATAATGTGTCTGACAGTGATATCACTACATATAAGTAATGTATCTGACTGACATCGCTACCTATAAATAATGTGTCTGACTGTGACATCGCTCGCTATAAATAATGTGTCTGACTGTGACATCGCTACCTATAAATAATGTGTCTGACAGTGACATCGCTCCCTATAAATAATGTGTCTGACTGTGACATCACTACCTATAAGTAATGTGTCTGACTGTGACATCACTACCTATAAAGGTGAGTGATCCAGTCACAGACATGGTAACATTGGAGGGGGTGAATGATCCAGTCACAGACATTGTTACATTGGAGGAGACGAGTGATCCAGTCACAGACATTGTTACATTGGAGGAGACGAGTGATCCAGTCACAGACATTGTTACATTGGAGGAGGTGAGTGATCCAGTCACAGACATTGTTACATTTGAGGAGGTGAGTGATCAAGTCACAGACATTGTTACATTGGAGGAGGTGGGTGATCCAGTCACAGACATTGTTACATTGGAGGAGGTGAGTGATCCAGTCACAGACATTGTTACATTGGAGGAGGTGAGTGATCTGATGTATAAATAATGTGTCTGACAGTGATATCACTACCTATAAGTAATGTATCTGACTGACATCGCTACCTATAAGTAATGTGTCTGACTGTGACATCACTACCTATAAGTAATGTATCTGACTGACATCGCTACCTATAAATAATGTGTCTGACTGTGACATCGCTACCTATAAATAATGTGTCTGACTGTGACATCACTACCTATAAATAATGTATCTGACTGTGACATCACTACCTATAAATGATATGTCTGACAGTGACATCACAACCTATAAATAATGTATCTGACTGACATCGCTACCTATAAATAATGTATCTGACTGTGACATCACTACCTATAAATAATGTATCTGACTGTGACATCACTACCTATAAATGATATGTCTGACGTTGACATCGCTACCTATAAATGATGTGTCTGACTGTGTAATCACTACATATAAATGATATGTCTGACAGTGACATCACTACCTATAAATGATGTGTCTGACGTTGACATCGCTACCTATAAATAATGTGTCTGACTGTGACATCACTACCTATAAATGATGTGTCTGACTGTGACATCACTACATATAAATAATGTGTCTGACATTGACATTACTACCTATAAATAATGTATCTGATTGCAACATCGCTACCTATAAATAATGTGTCTGACAGTGACATCATTACCTATAAATAATTTGTCTGACAGTGACATCACTACATATAAATAATGTGTCTGACTGTGACATTACTACCTATAAATAATGTATCTGATTGCGACATCGCTACCTATAAATGATGTGTCTGACAGTGACATCACTACCTATAAATAATGTGTCTGACTGTGACATCGCTACCTATAAATAATGTGTCTGACTGTGCTATCACTACCTATAAATAATGTATCTGACTGTGACATCACTACCTATAAATGATATGTCTGACGTTGACATCGCTACTTATAAATAATGTGTCTGACTGTGCTATCACTACCTATAAATAATGTATCTGACTGACATCGCTACCTATAAATGATATGTCTGACGTTGACATCGCTACCTATAAATAATGTGTCTAACTGTGACATCGCTACCTATAAATAATGTATCTGATTGCAACATCATTACCTATAAATAATTTGTCTGACAGTGACATCACTACATATAAATAATGTGTCTGACAGTGACATCACTTCCTATAAATAATGTGTCTGACAGTGACATCGCTACCTATAAATAATGTGTATGACTGTGCTATCACTACCTATAAGTAATGTATCTGACTGACATCGCTACCTATAAATAATGTGTCTGACTGACATCACTACCTATAAATAATGTGTCTGACTGTATCTGACAGTGACATCACTACCTATAAATGATATTTCTGACTATGACATCATTACCTATAAATAATGTGTCTGACTGTGCTATCGCTTCCTATAAATGATATGTCTAACTGTGACATCGCTACCTATAAATAATGTATCTGATTGCAACATCATCACCTATAAATAATTTGTCTGACAGTGACATCACTACATATAAATAATGTGTCTGACAGTGACATCACTACATATAAATAATGTGTCTGACATTGACATCACTTCCTATAAATAATGTGTCTGACTGTGACATCACTGCCGATAAATAATGTATCAGACTGTGACATCGCTACCTATAAATAATGTGTCTAACTGTGACATCGCTACCTATAAATAATGTGTCTAACTGTGACATCACTACCTATAAATAATGTGTCTGACTGACATCACTACCTATAAATAATGTGTCTGACATTGACATCGCTACCTATAAATAATGTGTCTGACTGACATCACTACCTATACATAATGTTTCTGACTGTGACATCACTGCCGATAAATAATGTATCTGACTGTGACATCGCTACCTATAAATAATGTGTCTAACTGTGACATCACTACCTATAAATAATGTGTCTGACATTGACATTGCTACCTATAAATAATGTGCCTGACAGTGACATCGCTACCTATAAATAATGTGTATGACTGTGCTATCACTACCTATAAGTAATGGATCTGACTGACATCGCTACCTATAAATGATATGTCTGACGTTGACATCGCTACCTATAAATGATGTGTCTGACTGTGACATCGCTACCTATAAATGATATGTCTGACTGTGACATCACTTCCTATAAATAATGTGTCTGACAGTGACATCGCTCCCTATAAATAATGTGTCTGACTGTGACATTACCACCTATAAATAATGTGCCTGACAGTGACATCGCTACCTATAAATAATGTGTATGACTGTGCTATCACTACCTATAAGTAATGGATCTGACTGACATCGCTACCTATAAATGATATGTCTGACGTTGACATCGCTACCTATAAATGATGTGTCTGACTGTGACATCACTACCTATAAGTAATGTATCTGACTGACATCGCTACCTATAAATAATGTGTCTAACTGTGACATCACTACCTATAAATAATGTGTCTGACTGACATCACTACCTATAAATAATGTGTCTGACATTGACATCGCTACCTATAAATAATGTGTCTGACAGTGACATCACTACCTATAAATGATATTTCTGACTATGACATCATTACCTATAAATAATGTGTCTGACTGTGCTATCGCTTCCTATAAATGATATGTCTAACTGTGACATCGCTACCTATAAATAATGTATCTTATTGCAACATCATTACCTATAAATAATTTGTCTGACAGTGACATCACTACATATAAATAATGTGTCTGACATTGACATCACTTCCTATAAATAATGTGTCTGACAGTGACATCGCTCCCTATAAATAATGTGTCTGACTGTGACATCTCTACCTATAAGTAATGTATCTGACTGACATCGCTACCTATAAATAATGTGTCTGACAGTGACATCGCTACCTATAAATAATGTGTCTGACTGACATCACTACCTATAAATAATATGTCTGACATTTTAGTTTTTCATCAACTTACTTTTGGGAATCCATGTGACCATGAACAGACCTATTTGAAAAAACACTTAATGATGCCCCTATTCTTCAGTCGGTGTGGTCATAACCTATCAGGTACAAGAAAAAATAGCAGAGTAGATTTATTCTAAATAACTTTAAATGCTGCCTATATCTTAATGGCATCTGCTATTTATGTTATTGTACAGAGTCCTACGTCAATGAGAACCAAGATGGAGATGATGATAATGAGGATACAGGTAAGTAATAAGTGTACTGTAGGTTAATGCATACAGGCCCGACAGCTTTCATATATATAAATTGATACATTATCGTTTAGTGTATTATTTTCTGACTCATACATCATCACATTTGTGTTTTTATTATTGAACTTGTTTTAATGTAAATATCCTGCAATTAGCCCAGGGGCAAACACATAATCCTGGTCTCATTTACTGCAGGGAAATGAAATAGCATTTGTTGGCATTTCTACAGAACTGCAGTATATATGTGGGCTTATTACCAGGCATGGGCTTTCTGCTGGGTAAATATGGAATAGCGACCCTTAGCCAGGAACAAATCTATATTTTGGAGATTTATTTTGTGATTTGGTGAAGTTTTGCACTTTTTACATGAGGAACTTATGGAAGTTCTAAGTTTTCACTATAGTCTAGATATACAGTACCTGGAATATGTTCACTAACAGTGGCTCACTGTACTAATTCTTCACTAACAGTGGGCCACTGTACTAATTCTTCACTAACAGTGGGCCACTGTACTAATTCTTCACTAACAGTGGGCCACTGTACTAATACCATTGGAGTGATTTGTTTATCCAACAATGAAACACATTCTCAAAATCAGAGGGAAATTTAAAAAATAGAAGAAAGGAGATTGTTTTCTCCGTGGAAAGTTTGCCAATATAGGTAAAGAATTGGTCTGGATTGGTCTGTTTAAGTGTCAGCAGCCCAGAGAAAAGTTAACAAATGCATGAGTTTATAGAGATGACAGTATGCTGAACCCACGCTGGAAACCGTAGGAATGTAAAAACAAAATTAATTCACCATAAACATCTTTTGTTAATATCAGAATGATACAATTGATTTCATAACAGAATTATTTTAATAATCAGGTTTCACTTTTAGTAGTATGTATCCATATTTCACCACTATAACCAATGAACATATAATATATATGTCGTTAGTAAAGCTGGGATTAATGACATTAACATATTTTACTTTGATAAGTACAGGAATAAATGCTTATTTGGTTTATGTGGTCATTTTTTTGACATATTCAAAAATCGGTCACTGAACTTGTTGAAGTTTCTCTCACACATTTACTTTAAATATCCAGTACATAACAATGTAGACTCTCACCTGTAAGAACATGAAATTTACTAGGATTGTATTATTATAAAAACACAGTTTGATATCAGTTCACATGTTATTAAAAACATTATATACATGTGTATTGTAAATCATTCAAAGGATTAGGGCCATATTTTTTCACTCTTTCCCATTTAACAGTCATGTGATGCAATAATATGTGTAATCACCTTGACCCTGTCTCTCGGTCCTCAAATGATGGGCATGCTAGTGACACCCCATATTTTGAACTTGGTACATGGTCACATGATGTGTGACGTCAAAGTGGCACTATACTTTTAAAATTATCCTGTATCCTGTTCATTATGTGCACCCATTCTGACATGTTCTTATTGTGTACCCTGAACGAAAATATCGGCTGTGACTTCACAAGTTCAATGCCTGTAGTGGTCACCATCGAAGGAATTGGCGATATCGAGAACATGCAGCCATGATAAATATAATACAGCATCAGATTGCGAATTCATTTTTTTTTTTTTTAGTTTTGAGGAATCAGATTTTGCTTAAGATAACATTAAGTATCCAGTTATATAAAATTTGCCAGAATTTCTAGACAGTGAGTTTAATTGATACCACACTGACGACTCTGAATAGGGTAACATAGACTGGTAGCGATTGCATGTCCTGGTTCTGAGCACTGATGAGATTTTTTTTCTCGAATGAACAAGTTTTGAGGGAAATTATAAACAAAAATAGTCTCAATGTTGTCGATCAAAGATGTTTCTTAATTTTAGCTGGAAAGTCAGTTTGCAATAAGTTTCTTTACTCTACACAGACGTATATGATTTATATGTCTCTGCTCTACAGTGAGAACTTATCCAATCATATCGTCATTGAACAGCATGCACTACTTCGTGACCAGTTTCTGTGCCGGAATATTTATCTTGCAAAGTTATATACTGTGGTACCTCTACTGTCCAAAAATGCGGAAATATATCAGTGAAAAATGTTTACAAAATAACTTAAACGTTGGTGTCTGATGTTTTTAAATGTCAGTATTCTTATAATATATAGTAATGACAAATCAATGACATTATTTGTGTCTTAATTCCTTAGGTCGATAATTCAAATAAACAACAAAATACCGACAGCTACACATTTAATTGTATACAATACAGTACCTATACATATGTTATGCTAAATAATATCACGGAGTTATATAATCTAATTTCGTGATTACATTTATCTTGAAAATATAATTGAATTATGAGATTCCAACATTTTTGTTTCTCCCTATATATTCATGTAGCATACACAAGTTATAACATCTTGGTTAAATAATGAAAATCATCTTGATCCACTCCCTTAGCATACTTAGGTGTGAAATTTGTGTACAGGTAAATAACACTATAAACACCTGTGTCCAGTGCTGACAGCAGGAGGCCTAGCTAAGACACACCTATATACCTGATTACAGGTAATATATGACATCAAAGGGATGTAGATTATGTGTCTTCCAATTGTCAAACCTATATTACGTCTCTGGTATAAGGATCAATTTCAAGAAAAATAAATAAATGAAATGCATAAGTGCTGTCACAGAGTCACATTATATGCAAACCACAATTAGAACAACTGCATCACTCGACAGATGAAAGTCAGAAATGAGGAAAATAATGCTGGACCATGCTATGCATATTATATATCTGTTAAGGTGGTTCATTGATAAATTACTCATCTTTGTGAGACTTAATGAACGGACAGGTTCTCCTTCTGCAATATTCTTAGATATTTATCATATCCTAAATTCCTTGGATTGCATAAAGAATAAAACGTTTTATGACTGGGAGTAAAAAACAGGGTCGCTGCTCATTTTGGGTATAAATTTTTGTACCAGTGCATTTTTAGCCCACCATCATCTGATGGTGGGCTATTCAAATCACCCTGCGTCCGTGGTCCGTGGTCCGTGGTCCGTCCGTTGTCCGTCGTCCGTCGTCCGTCCGTAAACAATTCTTGTTATCGCTATTTCTCAAGAAGTGCCAGAGGGATCTTTCTCAAATTTTATATGCAGGTTCCCCTTGGTCCTTAGCTGTGCAGGGCAACTTTTGAGACTGATCGGATAAACAACATGGCCGACAGGCAGCCATCTTGGATTTTGATAGTGAAAGATTGTTATCGCTATTTCTCAGGAAGTATTAGAGGGATCTTTCTCAAATTTTATATGTAGGTTCCCCTTGGTCCTTAGCTGTGCAGGGCAACTTTTGAGACTGATCGGATAAACAACATGGCCGACAGGCAGCCATCTTGGATTTTGATAGTGAAAGTTTGTTATCGCTATTTCTCAAGAAGTACCAGAGGGATCTTTCTCAAATTTTATATGTAGGTTCCCCTTGGTCCTTAGCTGTGCAGGGCAACTTTAGAGATTGATCGGATAAACAACATGGCCGACAGGTAGCCATCTTGGATTTTGATAGTGTGGGTTTGTTACCGCTATTTCTCCGGAAGAACTAGAGGGATCTTTCTTAAATTTTATATGTAGGTTCCCCTTGGTCCTAGCTGTGCAGGGCAATTTTAGAGACTGATCGGATAAACAACATGGCCGACAGGCAGCCATCTTGGATTTTGATAGTGAAAGTTTGTTATCGCTATTTCTCGGGAAGTACGGGAGGGATCTTTCTCAAATTTTAAATGTAGGTTCCCCTTGATCCCTCGTTGTGTATGTTATATTTTGAGACTGATCATAAAAACAAAATGGATTAAAAGAAGAACTAAACAGATCTTTCTCATATTGCAATGATCGATTCTATTTCTTTCACATTAAGTACTGTACTAGTAAATATGTGAAATGACAAACTCACTTTGAAGGTTGGCTTTCATACACATCAGTATTAAGTTTAGATCAAAAGTTACCTCAAGGTGCATTTACTGTTAACATGACTCGACCAAACAGATTAGAGGAAAGAAGAGAAAAGATCGAACTGACAAAGAACTAATGAAGATGGTACAAAGGTGGGCGCCAAGATCCCTCTGGGATCTCTTGTTTTGTCAATTCCAATCATATATCTACATATTGTTAAGAAATGTTAATTTGACTCAATATTTAATCAATTGTTTTGTGTTGTATATGTGTTCATCAAGTTTTCTAAAGATCAACTTAAGAACAAAAAGTATATTATAAACAGTAACTAGATTAACCAATTATGTAAAAAAAACACCAACAAAAAACATTCATATAGATAGCACCCAAATAACACACCATTTGCCTCTTAACAGAGTCCTAATTTGGAACTCATTTCTTCATTAAAATTGTCAAAAAAAAGCATTTATATGTATGTAGTCTTTAAATATTATCTACATAAGTATAAGTGACAGCAGAATATATCATATAAGTAGCTAAAAAGCTCATAAATCGAACGCAGGATCGAAGCTTCCCGTTATTTTCCTATAGAGCTGTTTTGACAGCATTGAACTTGTGACGTACAGATGTGGACTACCCGTATCGAGCGATCGCTAGTGAGCCAAAGGTGTGTTTTTCAGATAAGTCGCAACATTTTGGAAACGGAGTCAACTAAGGCGTTCACACTTTCTTCTAGCCTTTTATTGTATAATATGAAGTATTTTCATAGCTTGATATAGCAAAACGTTCAGGGTACACTTTAACAATTAAATTCAAAGTTTTATTGCTCATTCTTATATAGCTTGAAGACAACGAAGTAACAAAACAACAAACATAGAAAGAAACTTCAAAATTTTGAACAACATATACATTGTAACTTACACAGAAGCCTGGAGGCCCATATTTACATATTATCTGCTGCATAACAGTGTTAGTATAATGACATAAACCAATATAGGTTGAATGGGTTAAATTATCAATCGGCAAATAAAGACATCAGTAATGTTCTTATCCGAAAGAGTATAGTCATACATGTTAGCCTGAATCATGGTAATCTAATTCCGGGCCTGCATCAACTATGTTCAGTGTACTTTCAAGCTGACGAGACAGTAATACACAGGTTACACACCTAAGTATCCTACCTGTAACTTCAAAGGTATGTTAATTACCACTAGGTCTTACCACTTAATACTATAGCCAATGGGCATTTACGATACCTACCTGTGAATTAACAGGTGAACTAATTACCCAGAAGTGTTACCTGTGAATGTCATCGCCAAAGGGCATTGATAACCAATCCTCCAACTAACACAGGTACAGTGTAGTATGGTGTACCAGTGCATTTCATTTTGTCCCCAGTGTTGAAAGAAAAAAGTTGTTGAAGGATTAAAGCCAATTTAACCAGACTTTAACTGTTTGTTTTACCTAAATTTTACAACAGCCTATACGTTCCTTTCCGAATTGGGAAAATATAGCATTAATTAAATTGAAATTGGGAACATATTCCTCGTTTTTTTGGTCATTTAGAGAAAATAAGGAACCTTTTAGCTAGGGGAAACAGCCTGTATCCGGCTGAAAACTGAGCAAAAAAAACCTCTGGACTTTTTACCATAATTAGGATAATAATCTGGACCGAAAACTGAAGATTGTTAGGTAAAGATTTACGTGTATCATTTATTTATAAATGACATGAGTTTTTTTCATGCAATTTCTGAATTCTAAAGTTTTATTACTTCTGTAGTAATGGTGGTGCTGATATGACTTTTACAGAATAGTGTAAAATATCAACATGAACAGGGGCCGATACAAGATTTCTTGATGAGTTGATTGGTCCATACTATTTTCAGAATAACCTTCCGAGTTTGTCATATACTTTTTATCCGAGACCACCAATAAATCCAAACTAATCCAGTTCCTCACGCTGAATATCGCCAACAATTAACAGTGAGGCAGAATTCATTCTTTTTTCGAGTTTGAATTTTAGGTATTATAGTTGGAAGCTAGCAATGAGTTTATAGATTTGTTTTATTGAAGAATGCCGATCGGTTTATTGATCATGGTATACATACATTGAAATTATATAACTTTAAAAAGTCACAACATCATTAAACTGGCTCTTATGTCATACCTATCTATTTTGTTTTAGATCAAGTAATGTATATATGGAGGTCTCATTCTGTGTAGCCGCGCATTCTACATGCATATATATCTTATCTACGTCCCTGCACAGTCATATCAGAATCTTCCTCCGATGTATTCAGTGATTTGTCTTTGTCCTGTCGTCAACTTAATTTGATGGAGAATTGTATTAAGTATGTAGGTTCATACCAAGAATCACACTGTCAGATGTGTCCTTTGAAACAAATCAGAAATATAAAGCAGGTGTAACTCCTGAACCCTAGCTACTGTTTCATGGACCAGACTAACCCAAGCCTGCTCCTATGATGTCACAAGTACCATGTGACCTGTAAGCTCATTAAAATTCTCACAAGTAAGGAGCGGTCACATTTGATTGCCTATTAGTAACGCGACACTTCTGAACGCTCTTTGATGGATGATTGGATGATAAGTATTTATTTAACTGGGTACAGGTTTCCCCTATTTGCAAAATGTAAAAGAAACTTGGCCAAAACCTTTGCAGATTTAAGGGTTATACTTTCCAGGTCATGGGATCAAAATCTGAGCTTTTGTTTTTCAACATTACTAATGGCACATGTTCAATTTGTGAAGTACCTGCATGGTAATAAAGAGCTATGGTCAACTATAGTGTTGTCTGCGGTGTGATACAACCAAATTGTCTTTATAGGGAGAAATTTGTAGAGCATTGGAGGACATAGATGGAGACAAGAGATTCTTCGTCGATCGATGGCAGCGAAAAGAGGTAAGATTTAAATAGCTTCTTCACAGAGTGGTCTCCTTTTCAGCTGTTAGTGACCTCTCTGTCAACATCTAGAGTGTGATACCTGGCATAATGTACAAATACCTTTGTTGATAATCCAGATATGTTTCTCTGTTTCTTGTTATGTCTATAACTTTATGTTGGATATATAGAAAAATTATCTCATTATTGTGTTGAGTGATGTCCCTGTGTTGTGGTGAGTGTTGTCCCTGTGTTGTAGTAAGTGTTGTCTCTATTTTGTGTTGAGTGTTGTCCCTGTGTTGTGTTGAGTGTTGTCCCTGTGTTGTGGTGAATATTCTCCCAGTGTTATTTCTGAGTGTTGTCTCTGTTTTGTGGTGAGTGTTGTCCCTGTGTTGTGGTGAGTGTTGTCCCTGTTCTGTGGTGAGTGTTGTCCCTGTGTTTAGGTCAGTGTTGTGGTGAGTGTTGACCCTGTGTTGTGGTGAGTGTTGTCCCTGTTTTGTGATGAGTGTTGTCCCTGTTTTGTGGTGAGTGTTGTCCCTGTGTTGTGGTGAATGTTGTCCCTGTGTTGTAGTTATTGTTTTCTCTGTTTTGTGTTGAGTGTTGTCCCTGTGTTGTGGTGGATATTCTCCCAGTGTTATATCTGAGTGTTGTCTCTGTTTTGTGGTGAGTGTTGTCCCTGTTTTGTGGTGAGTGTTGTCCCTGTGTTGTGTTGAGTGTTGTCCCTGTGTTGTAGTAAGTGTTGTCTCTGTTTTGTGGTGAGTGTTGTCCCTGTGTTGTGGTGAGTGTTGTCCCTGTGTTTAGGTGAATGTTGTCCCTGTGTTGTAGTTATTGTTTTCTCTGTTTTGTGTTGAGTGTTGTCCCTGTGTTGTGGTGAATGTTGTCCCTGTGTTGTGGTGAATGTTGTTCCTGTTTTGTGATGAGTGTTGTCCCTGTGTTGTGGTGAATATTGTCCCTGTGTTGTAGTTATTGTTTTCTCTGTTTTGTGTTGAGTGTTGTCCCTGTGTGGTGGTGAATGTTGTCCCTGTGTTGTGGTGAATGTTTTCTCTGTTTTGTGTTGAGTGTTGTCCCTGTGTTGTGGTCAATATTCTCCCAGTGTTATATCTGAGTGTTGTCTATGTTTTGTGGTGCGTGTTGTCCCTGTGTTAATTGTGGTGAGTGTTGTCCCTGTGTTGTGGTGAGTGTTGTCCCTGTTTTGTGATGAGTGTTGTCCCTGTTTTGTGGTGAGTGTTGTCCCTGTGTTGTGTTGAGTGTTGTCCCTGTGTTGTGGTGAATATTCTCCCAGTGTTATATCTGAGGGTTGTCTCTGTTTTGTGGTGAGTGTTGTCCCTGTGTTGTGTTGAGTGTTGTCCCTGTGTTGTGGTGAATATTCTCCCAGTGTTATATCTGAGTGGTGTCTCTGTTTTGTGGTGAGTGTTGTCCCTGTGTTAATTGTGGTGAGTGTTGTCCTTGTGTTGTGGTGAGAGTTGTCCCTGTGTTTAGGTCAGTGTTGTCCCTGTGTTATAGTGAGTGTTGTCCCTGTGTTGTAGTTATTGTTGTCTCTGTTTTGTGGTGAGTGTTGTCCCTGTGTTAATTGTGGTGAGTGTTGTCCCTGTGTTGTGGTGAATGTTGTCCCTGTGTTGTAGTTATTGTTTTCTCTGTTTTGTGGTGAGTGTTGTCCCTGTGTTAATTGTGGTGAGTGTTGTCCTTGTGTTGTGGTGAGTGTTGTCCCTGTGTTTAGGTCAGTGTTGTCCCTGTGTTATAGTGAGTGTTGTCCCTGTGTTGTAGTTATTGTTGTCTCTGTTTTGTGTTGAGTGTTGTCTCTTTGTTTTGGTGAATATTCTCCTAGTGTTATTTCTGAGTGTTGTCTCTGTTTTGTGGTGAGTGTTGTCCCTGTGTTGTCCCTGTGTTGTGATGAATGTTGTCCATGTGTTGTTGTGCGTGTTGGTTCAGTGTTATAGTGAGTGTATTGACTGTATGTGATTATTTACTTACAGGGAGGAGGAGGCATATCTTGTGTTCTTCAGGATGGAACTGTGTTTGAGAAAGCTGGAGTAAACATTTCTGTTGTTCATGGAAACCTTCCACCAGCAGCTGTTCAACAGATGAGAGCAGAAAGGTAATGTTCTTTGTTTAGCTTTATGTCAAAGGTCAAGTGATCTTATTGTGTGGTATACCTTGTTTATTGTCCGTCAACTCAGTTTTAGGCTACCATCATCAGATGATGAGCTGTTCAAATTGTGTTTCATCCATTCTAATGAAATTTGAGAAAAATCCAATTTTTGAAGAAAATTTAATAGAAAACGCTAAACTGTCAAAATCGAAGATGCCTATCTGGCAGCAATCTTGTTCTTCCAATTAGTCTCAAAAAGGAACATGAATAATAAACTTGCGAAATTAAGAAGATACCTCTTGGTCCCTATTTATTTATGTTTTAATTTTGAGTCTAATTAGAAAATAGGTTGGTCCTGTTACCTAGCTTTAAATGTTTCATTTTGATCTTCAATCTGCTAGATCAATAGAAAAACATTAACTAGCAGAAATTAAAACAAATTCTCTTGTTTCACACATTACTATATTTAGCTATAACTATCTACTTACTTAATGTCTTTGTAAAATAATATTGTTGAAATCAATGCCAGGTGGCCCTTTATAAGTATAACTCACCGATGTTTGGAGTATATTATTTGTGTATTTCGTGATTGTCTTGGACACCTTTACATTATAAACACATGACATGTGAAGGTAAAATATGCTATCTGCAATATGACTTAGAAGGTGGTAAGAAGCATTAACAGTCCTGTTATATATTTCAGAGGGAAGATTCTAGAGGGCACCACTTTACCATTCTTTGCCACAGGAATCAGTGCTGTGATACACCCGGTTTGTATGGCAGTCAATGCCTGGGATACCTTTATGTTAAAAAATATTACGATCATATTAAACAATGATTAGCAGTAATCAACTCTATTCTTGTTGTTTTATAGAGAATGTGTTCAGTGATAAGAAAAGATGTAACAAACAGTTATTCAAGTTGAGAAGACTTTTTTTTTTTGGACAAGTGCTAGTGGCAAAAGATGAAATTCATCCCCACTATTGCTCATATCAACTAATGATTTCTCTGTTTTGTAGAAAAATCCCAACATTCCAACAATCCATTTCAACTACCGTTACTTTGAGGTGACTGATAAAACGGGTAAAACTCAATGGTGGTTCGGAGGTGGAACTGATCTGACACCTTCTTACCTGGATAAACAGGTAACAATTAACACAATAACAGTGGCTTAATTAACTAGACAAAAAGCTAATTATTGACTCGAAATCAGTGTCTTACCTAGACAGACAGGTAGCAACTGACTCATTAACAGTGTCTTACCTAGACAAACAGGTAACTACTGACTAAGTAACAGTGTTTTACCTAGACAGACATATAACTTCTGACTAAGTAACAGTGTTTTACCTAGACAAACAGGTAACTACTGACTTAGTAACAGTGTCTTACCTAGACAAACAGGTAACTACTAAGTAACAGTGTCTTACCTAGACAAACAGGTAACTTCTGACTAAGTTACAGTGTTTTACCTAGACAAACAGGTTACTACTGACTAAGTAACAGTGTCTCACCTAGACAAAAAGGTACCTTCTGACTAAGTAACAGTGTTTTACCTAGACAAACAGGTAACTAATAACTAAGTAACAGTGTCTTACCTAGACAAACAGGGAACTACTGACTAAGTAACAGTGTTTTACCTAGACAAACAGGAAACTAATCCCTAAGTAACAGTGTCTTACCTAGACAAAAAGGTAACTACTGACTAAGTAACAGTGTTTTACCTAGACAAACAGGTAACTACTGACTAAGTAACAGTGTTTTACCTAGACAAAAAGGTAACTACTGACTAAGTAACAGTGTCTCACCTAGACAAACAGGTAACTACTGACTAGTAACAATGTCTTACCTAGACAAACAGGTAACTACTGACTTAGTAACAGTGTCTTACCTAGACAAACAGGTAACTACTGACTAAGTTAAAGTGTCTCACCTAGACAAACAGGTAACCACTGACTTAGTAACAGTGTCTTCCCTAGATAAACAGGTAACTACTGACTAAATTACAGTGTTTTATCTAGACAAACAGGTTACTACTGACCAAGTAACAGTGTCTTACCTAGAAAAACAGGTAACTACTGACTTAGTTACAGTGTTTTATCTAGACAAACAGGTTACTACTGATCAAGTAACAGTGGCTTACCTAGACAAACAGGTACCTACTGACTAAGTAACAGTCTCTTACCTAGACAAACAGGTAACTACTGACTAAGTAACAGTGTTTTACCAAGACAAACAGGTAAGTACTGACTAAGTAACAGTCCCTTACCTAGACAAACAGGTAACTACTGACTAAGTAACAGTGTCTTACCTAGACAAACAGGTAACTACTGACTAAGTAACAGTGTCTCACCTAGACAAACAGGTAACTACTGACTAAGTTACAGTGTTTTATCTAGACAAACAGGTTACTACTGATCAAGTAACAGTGTCTTACCTAGACAAACAGGTAAGTACTGACTAGGTAACAGTCCCTTACCTAGACAAACAGGTAACTACTGACTAAGTAACAGTGTTTTACCTAGACAAACAGGTAAGTACTGACTAAGTAACAGTCCCTTACCTAGACAAACAGGTACCTACTGACTAAGTAACAGTGTTTTACCTTGACAAACAGGTAACTACTGACTAAGTAACAGTCTCTTTCCTAGACAAAAAGGTAACTACTGATTAGGTAACAGTGTCTTACCTAGACAAACAGGTAACTACTGATTAGGTAAAAGTGTCTTACCTAGACAAACAGGTAACTACTGACTAAGTAACAGTCTCTTTCCTAGCCAAAAAGGTAACTACTGACTAGGTAACAGTGTCTTACCTAGACAAACAGGTAACTACTGACTAAGTAACAATGTCTTACCTAGACAGACAGATAACTACTGACTAAGTAACAGTATATTACGTAGACAAACAGGTAACCATTGTCTCACCTATATATATGTATATATATAATGTATGTATTTTTTTTTTTTTTATTTTTTTTTTTTTAAACTTGTGAAGTATGTTCAATGATACGATATTTACATGCAATTTATTTTGAAACATATTTATCCATCACCCAAGTATTATCTGTGTAATTACCAAATGAACGGAACAACTGTCGCAGTATGTCGTCTAGAAAGTACAGTGCCTATGTGTGGAAATCTCAGTGTGTAGCCTATCTAATGAAGTGTTCTTTTGTTATCAACAGGATGTTGTCCATTTCCACCAGACTCTGAAGACAGCCTGTGACAAACACAGCAAAAACTACTACCCTAAGTTCAAAAAGTGGTGTGATGATTACTTCACTATCAAACACCGGGGTAGGTATTAATACAGGTTAACGATGTCTCACACAGGTGTCGGTGGATAAGGAACAATATGTGTGTTAGTATGCATTTCCTGAAATAAGGACACAAGTCTGGTGTAAACATGTCGTTATCAATGTTGGAGTATAGTGTTGTGACCATAATATCATAATCGTAAAATTACAATTTTTATGGATAATCTTTTCATAAACATGTATCAAGAGCAGGCAGGAATATTTTAATTATTTTCTGTAAATTTGTGATAACACTCAATATAACACTCTTGTTATTGTACCCTATTAGTAAAAAGTGAATACTATGTACTGAAATTTTTAACAGTTTAACTAAAACTTAACTAAGTCCCTTTTTCACCCTGTGTAATGCAGGTGAAATTATCACAAGAGAGATAACAAGGACATCTTAACAAATATATTTATTGAAGTGAGAAATAAGCACTGGGTGAATACAGATTTTACTGTGAAAGGGCGAATATAGACTGGGCAAAAGTGTCCCAGGATAGAGTATCACATACTGTGTAATTACACCTGTATCACACACAACAGTCGTAGAAGTGAATACCGCACACTCTAATAATGACACCTGTATCACACACAACAGGTGCAGAACTGAATACCGCACACTCTTATAAAGACACCTTATCACACACAACAGGTGCAGAAGTGAATACCGCACACTCTAATAATGACACCTGTATCACACACAACAGGTGCAGAAGTGAATACTGCACACTCTAATAATGACACCTGTATCGCATACAACAGGTGCAGACATGAATACCGCACACTCTAATAATGACACCTGTATCACACACAACAGGTGTAGAAGTGAATACTGCACACTCTAATAATGACACCTGTATCACACAAAAGAGGTGCAGAAGTGAATACCGCACACTCTAATAATGACACCTGTATCACACAAAACAGGTGAAAAGTGAATATCTCACACTGTTGTAATTCCATTGTGTATTAAACTTACAACAAGAAAATTATCTCACCATTTGAATCTATAAGACAACTTGAGTTACTTCCAATGATCTGCCGCCTCATCCACGTGATCATACGAGGAATTTGTTTATGAACCAGTCACTGTACACATTGTGATACATGTTCTATGAAAAACAATACACTTGTGTGATTACATTTTACAGGTGAAAAGAGGGGAGTTGGAGGAATTTTCTTTGATGATCTTGATAATGGAACAGAAGAAGATATTTTCAACTTCGTAAGGGTAAGTTAAAACAATTGGTCTCAATCATTTCATCTCATTCTTTACATGCTTCTAGATGGCTAATCAATTGCTTTATTCAAGACTTCTGGGTTAGATAGAACATAGATCTTGTCTGGTTTTGAGGAAATTTCATATAAAGATGTACTAATGTATTCAGTTGTAATGACTTAAATATATAACCAGGTGAGTGATACAGGTCCAATGGACCTCTTGTTAACTTTTCCTGAAGAATCCAGAGGTTTTCATTCATTCATTTTGTATATAGCAATGACCCATTAAGGATTTACATATTAAAAATAGCTGAATAATAGGTTGACAAATATCAACTGTTCCTCGTGGAATTATAGGGACACACATGTTATTGAATTACTCAATTTTAGTGTGTTTTCAGCTTGTGATTTGAATCTATAAACTTATCAAAAAATAAAGACTGTGCAAGCTATTAAGGCTTATGGGGTTCTAGTATGCTTTATAATATACTACCAGGTACTTTATAATTATAATGAAACGGTCTCAAATCGTTGATAAATTTCACACAATATTTAACGGAAATCATGCCTAAGATTATTTTGTTTTTTAAATGAATTTGGATTGTCTCCCTTTTGCTATAATGTCACCAGCCATATGAAGTGAAGATGCAACAAAGTAGATGAAGGATTTAAAAAGGAGAGCAGAGCAATCAACACGGGTTTCTATTTTCTAAACTTTTTATAAAAAATGTAAGAAAGGACATTGACACAGTTGTCAACTGCTGAAAATTGTTCCATTACTGAACTGAAAAAGCATTATGTTATTTCTAAAAAAAATAACACCAAAGATGATTATCTGAGTTCAATAGCTTTCTTTTTATAATGTCCATGTATTAACAAATTTCGTAGACATAACAATCAAGAAAAGCTGGTCTTTATTTACATGGTACATATCACTTTGTTCTTGTGGCATAGATATTTCACAAGTGAACAATTTAACCAAATATCCAAACTCAAGTTCACACGCAGTGAGTTAAGGCTGGGCTGTATTTTATCTTTGTTTAACTTAACACTTTCTGTCTGCAGTTCGTCAATGTATAACACTTTTTTAGGTAGCCATTTTACAAATCCATGTGCTGAACAGAGTGAAAAATAAAAACAAAGGACTAGTGTCCTCATATTAGAATAAACTGACTTTTGAAGGAAGGAAATCCATTTGAAGACTTCATTGTTTTCATAGAATAACCTGCCTTTCCTGTGGAGACAATTTCTGTCAAATATCCACCTGATATCAAGGGAGACAATTCATGTGAAAATTTACAAAATGTCCTCATGGCTTCCAAAGGGGAGACAAATGATGTGAAGACTCCAGTGTCCTCATATTAGACGATTTATGTGAATATCCCTGTGTCCTCGTATTTAAGAATCTTGACATCCTTGTAGTTGAAGATAGCCCAGATGATGTTGTCAGACTGCATGCCCAGGGCTACAGGGCTACTGGTCCAGTCCACCAGCAGGGTTTTGAGGAATCGGCCTTCTCCGCTCACTAATAGGATGCAGTCATTGTTGAAGTCTGCGATGATTAGGTCCCCTTTGCTGTCGTAACACAGAGACCAGGGTTCAAATGGTGTTGGCCTGAGCAGAGTGTCATCAGGAAGTTTCTTTGTCTTGCGCCGATAGTAGAACAACAGATTCAGCTGGTTGTCCATGACAGCAACTCGTGGTTTGCCTTTCCCATCATCTTCAACCCAATCAAAGTCTGCCACAGCAACATTGCGTGTGATGCGGCATTGTGTGATACTGCGAGGGGTGACGACAATTCTCTCGCCTTCCCTGTCAATGGTGGCTGCATGGATGACCTTACCCTGGAGGTTGTATAGCCTTATCTCCTTAGTCATTCCCACTAACACTTTGTTGTCAGTTGTGCAGCAGAGACACCATGGCTCACGGCTACACTTGAACCGCAGACGTGGCTCCTTGGCCAGTGTGGTGGTCAGTTCTCGCACAGAGTTGTCGTCACGGCTACACATCCACAGGTTGTTTGTTGTTGGTGACTTGGCGATGTCCCAGACCTCCATTGACATGTTCATCTGCTGTTTCACTTCCCCTGTCTGATTAAGCAGTAGGAGTCGCTTCCCCTCCCAGTGGGATACCCAGGCATGGTCTGATACAGGACAAATCTTGCTTACCTCATATGGGTAGTTGAATTCTGATAAAGTCTGGATCTCTTCATATATTGTTGACCTGATGGACTGTCCATCTGCGGATTGGCTTTGGTCATCGTCTGCCTCACTTTGAACCTCGGCCAATGCCAGTTCGTCACCGGTTTCAGATGGCCCTGTAGGTTCTTGGCCCATATCACGCTTAATTGTTATGGTGCCAAAGGCAGCCTCTATCAGCTCTTGAGGGTAATTGATTGGCTCAAACACAGGAACTCGCAGACTTGGGAAGTAGGGTAGGTTGAATGCTCCGTGTATATCTCGCTCTGTGTCATAGACCTGGACGTTAGTGCCAACTCGCGTAGCCTTATTACAGTCATGTAGCAGGGAGGAGATCTTGGCATACATGGTCACCAGCTCTTTCTTGTATTTGTGTAATAGATCCATAGTTTCTGTCTCCAATTTTTCCACCTTGTTTATAAATTGCTGGGTCATGATGTCAACTTCCTCTTTCAACTTTGCATTATGTTGTCTAATTCTATAGACGATATTTGGAAAAAGTTTTCTTTTTTTGTCTAGTATGCCCTCCAGATACCTCATTTCTGCTTTTATCTTCTGTTGTTCAACTTTCTCGGCCTGATTGACAAAGATTTGAATCTTTTTGCGTTGCCTGATAGCAACAAGCTCATCAAGAGAGGACACTGTGTGAGCCTTATGTCTGGTCTGGAGACATTTGGAACAAAGCAATTCCCCATCACAGGCAACCTCCTTACAGAAGTACACTATCTCTTTACCTTTATGGAAAGGACACAGCGAGCTTCCCTTTTCCCTAACAGGAAGTGGTAGTGGTCTCCGTCCAGCCATTTTTGGATTTTACTTAATCCGTCAAGAACTCAAAAGATACAAGTGAATTTTAGCACTTCTAAATTGTATAGCTTTCTCAGATGAAGTCCTGTCATGTACATTTGATCACTTGCACAATATTCACCAAATACTTATTCCTTCAAAGACAGCTTCCTAATGATTATATTGTTCGTCTTTGAAATGAAATAATTTCTCAATAAAATGTACTGCATTTAAGGTCATGGTAGTTGGCCATGGGCTCAAAGTGTATGCCAATAGACATTCAAACAAAAGCAACCCAATCAACCCTTAAATGTGTGTTGGACCCAACTAGCCTGTGAAGTGTACATACCCATTGTAATATAAAGGGGTAATAAGCAGGTGTCCTATATCAGTTAAATGTTAATGGGTACACAATCAAACTGTTAATAGGTGTTGCCTTCTTTATTATCTACCTAAAATCTAGATTTGAAACTTCAATAGGGTGGATATTGAATGGTGGATATTTAAATTACACAGATCATTATCTTCTGCTTAATTAGCCCAGTATACAACATATATATACATTTAAATTTATTCTTATATCAAATAAACAAGATAAACATTGGATTAGAACTGCTTTTTGTTAAAGGATTTTTGATTGGTGGAAGGCCTAATGTGATTTACGTATGTAGTCTCACGGTTGTTTTCCTCAAGTGTGTCTATGCCTGTGTTTTATGGGGACTTTAATGTTTATTACCTGTGTACTGTATGTTACTGTGAAAAGCCCAGGATTGTTATTAGCCCTATCTGCTAATTAGATAGTTTTTTGCAATTGAGGGTTATATTTGTCAAATCCGGAAGTAAGACCAAAAATCCAGGGTTCCCGAGTATATTTTGTAGACAAGTGGTTTATCATGTAACAGGGTCGAGTCTGATTAGTGAATATTTTGGCTAGTTGTTTATCACAAGGTAAAACAGGGTAAGGTTTGATTGGTGAGGTTTTGGGCTAATGATTCATTATAGGTAAAACAGGGTAGGGTTTGACTGAGGTTGTGTACTCATTGAATATAATAGTTACATTGTTGACCTCTGTACTGAGGTTGTGAACCCATTGTATATAATAGTTACATTGTCGACCTCTGTACTGAGGTTGTATACCTATTGTATAGATTAGTAACATTGGTGACCTCTGTACTGAGGTTTTGTACCCATTGTATATAATAGTTACATTGGTGACCTCTGTACTGAGGTTGTATACCTATTTTATAGATTAGTAACATTGGTGACCTCTGTACTGAGGTTTTGTACCCATTGTATATAATAGTTACATTGGTGACCTCTGTACTGAGGTTGTATACTCATTGTATACAATAGTTACATTGGTGACCTTTGTACTGAGGTTGTGTACCCATTGTAAAGATTTGTTATATTGTTGACCTCTGTACTGAGGTTGTGTACCCATTGTATATAATAGTTACATTGGTGACCTCTGTGCTGAGGTTGTATACCTATTGTATAGATTAGTTACATTGTTGACCTCTGTAATGAGGTTGTGTACTCATTGTATAGATTAGTTACATTTTTGACCTCTGTACTGAGGTTGTGTACTCATTGGATAGATTAGTTACATTGGTGACCTCTGTACTGGGGTTGTGTACTCATTGTATAGATTAGTTACAGTGTTGACCTCTGTACTGAGGTTGTGTACTCATTGGATAGATTAGTTACATTGGTGACCTCTGTACTGGGGTTGTGTACTCATTGTATAGATTAGTTACAGTGTTGACCTCTGTACTGAGGTTGTGTACTCATTGGATAGATTAGTTACATTGGTGACCTCTGTACTGGGGTTGTGTACTCATTGTATAGATTAGTTACATTGCTGACCTCTGTACTGAGCTTGTGTACTCATTGTATATAATAGTTACATTGTCGACCTCTGTACTGAGGTTGTGTACTCATTGTATGGATTAGTTACATTGTTGACCTCTGTACTGAGGTTGTTAACCCATTGTATATAATAGTTACATTGTCGACCTCTGTACTGAGGTTGTGTACTTATTGTATAGATTAGTTACATTGTCGACCTCTGTACTGAGGTCGTGTACTCATTGTATACAATAGTTACATTGGTGACCTCTGTACTGAGGTTGTATACGTATTGTATAGATTAGTTAAATTGTCGACTTCTGTACTCAGGTTGTGTACCCATTGTATATAATAGTTACCTTGGTGACCTCTTTACTGAGGTAGTGTACTCATTGTATAGATTAGTTATATTGTCGACCTCTGTGCATTGTTGACCTCTGTACTGAGGTTGTGTACTCATTGTATAGATAAGTTACATTGTTGACCTCTGTACTGAGGTTGTGTATCTATTGTATAGATTAGTTACATTGGTGGCCTCTGTATTGAGGTTGTGTACTCATTGTATACACTAGTTACATTGGTGACCTCTGTACTGAGGTTGAGTTCTCATTGCATATAATAGTTACATTGTCGACCTCTGTACTGAGGTTGTGTACTTATTGTATAGATTAGTTACATTGTCGACCTCTGTACTGAGGTTGTGTACTCGTTGTATATAATAGTTACATTGGTGACCTCTGTGCTGAGGTTGTATTCCTATTGTATAGATTAGTTACATTGTTGACCTCTGTAATGAGGTTGTGTACTCATTGTATAGATTAGTTTCATTTTTGACCTCTGTACTGAGGTTGTGTACTCATTGTATACAATAGTTACATTGGTGACCTTTGTACTGAGGTTGTGTACCCATTGTAAAGATTTGTTATATTGTTGACCTCTGTACTGAGGTTGTGTGCCCATTGTATATAATAGTTACATTGGTGACCTCTGTGCTGAGGTTGTATTCCTATTGTATAGATTAGTTACATTGTTGACCTCTGTACTGAGGTTGTTAACCCATTGTATATAATAGTTACATTGTCGACCTCTGTACTGAGGTTGTGTACTTATTGTATAGATTAGTTACATTGTCGACCTCTGTACTGAGGTCGCGTACTCCTTGTATACAATAGTTACATTGGTGACCTCTGTACAGAGGTTGTGTACCTATTGTATAGATTAGCTACATTGGTGACCTCTGTACTGAGGTTGTGTATCTATTGTATAGATTAGTTCCATTGGTGACCTCTGTACTGAGGTTGTATACTCATTGTATACAATAGTTACATTGGTGACCTCTGTACAGAGGTTGTGTACCTATTGTATAGATTAGCTACATTGGTGACCTCTGTACTGAGGTTGTGTACTCATTGTATATAATAGTTTCATTGGTGACCTCTGTACTGAGGTTGTATACCTATTGTATAGATTAGTTAAATTGTCGACTTCTGTACTGAGGTTGTGTACCCATTGTATATAATAGTTACATTGGTGACCTCTTTACTGAGGTAGTGTACTCATTGTATAGATTAGTTATATTGTCGACCTCTGTGCTGAGGTTGTATACCCATTGTATGGGTTAGTTACATTGTTTACCTCTGTACTGACGCTGTGTTACCATTGTTATATTATTTTTATAACATTTCTTTACAGAGCTGTGCCGAAGCTGTGCTGCCTTCCTACCTGCCCATTGTAAACAAACACAGAAATGATGGATACTCGTATGCAGACAGGTGAGAGTTTTTTCAGATTTTTATTTGAAGTTAAAGATCTATGTAATCTTGTATGTTTTAGCTCAGCATCTGCCATCAATTGTTTTTTTAGCTCACCTGGCCCAAAGGTGCGGCGTCCGGCGTCTGTCGTCCGTCATCCGTCGTCTGTCCGTCCGTCGTCAACTTTTTACTTCAACAACTTCTTCTGAATAACCAAGAGGCCCAGGCTAATAATATTTGGTCAGTAGCATGCTGGGATGAAGGGCTACCAAGTTTGTTCAAATGAATGATCTTTGTCCATTTTCAAGGTCACAAGGGGTCAAATATGTTGAAATCTTTAAATAACTTCTTCTGATAACCAGAAGGCCCAGGATGATGATATTTGGCCAGTAGCATGCTGGGATGAAGGGCTACCAAGTTTGTTTAAATGAATGACCCTCCCTTATATTCAAGGTCACAGGGGTCAAATATATTAGAAATTTTAAAACAATTTCTTCTAAATAACCAAAATGTCTGTCGTGTTGATATTTGGCCAGTAGCATACTTGGATAAAGGGCTACCAAGTTTGTTCAAACAAATGACCTTCACTCATATTCAAGGTCAAAGGGGTATATTGTCTTAAAAACTTTTAATCAACTTCTTTTGTATAACCAAAAGGTGCAGGGTGATGATATTTGGCCAGAAGGATGTTGGCATGAAGGGTTACAAAGTTTGTTCAAATTAATGACTTTTGCCCATATTCAAGGTCACAGGGGTCAAATATGTTGAAATCTTTAAATGACTTCTTCTGAATTGACCTTGACAAACTTTCACATCTGGTCCATAGTGCATACATCTTTAAAAGTCATCTTCTCAATAAACAAAAGGTTAAGGTGGTGATATTTGGCAAGTTGCATTCTGGTAGGAAGGGCTATGAAGTTTGTTCAAATTTAAATGTCCATGTTTGACTTTCAAGGTCACAGGGGTCAAATGTATTTTAATCGTTTAACAGGTTCTTCTGAAGTCAAGACACTGATATTTTGCCTGTAGCTTTATTTTAGTTCATTTTTAAGGTTACAATTGTGAGATTAATACCAGGTGAGCGATGCAGGCCCTCTTGTCAAAATTCTCAAAAAAGTATTTATCTCAATTGATGAAATAAAGCTGTTATCTATCAGGAAATATGGATCAAATGGTATTGATTACACAAGTGCAACACTTTCATTGTCACAATGGTTTACATTGGCTAAAGGGCCAAATTGTGAGGATTATTAATAGAGATATAGAATTGCTCTAAATATCCTGCCAGTTGCACAGACGGAATGTTAGGTCAAGTTTGGGAGTATTGTGCATCTTGCACTGTCACCTAGGGCCTGTTGTTTACCGGTATGTGGGCAATCAGGTTCAGATGAAGCCTGACCAACCTGCAAATGTTAACGCAGGCCTTGAATGTCTTTGATTAGGCTTACCAGAAAGCTACACTAAATCAATCCGTCCCTTGTCTGTATTTCATAATTGAACAACTCTAGTTCAACTGGTCAAACCATTTGGAAGGAAATTAAAGAAATCAGCCAAACAGAAGTCTGTAGACAGAAGTCCTACAGACTTCTACAAAATAAAGTCTGAAAGAGTTATGCCCCTTACACCATCACATGTAGTAGGCCTACAGAAGATGAATGGAATCAAAGCCACAAAGAAGTTATTGGTTGGCTGAATTCCGTAGCAGAGTATCTGCTTATAGTACCCTTCTCCATGACTACTCTCATCTGAACTCCTTTTAAAATTTCATGTCGACATGAGGAAACAGGTTTCTGCCTCACATATACCTGAAAATTCTTAATTTTTAGCTCACCATCATCAGTTGGTGGGCTGTTCAATTTGCCTTTTGTCCATACAGGGTCTGTAACACATTCATTGTTCATCCTAAAGCAGTACTGTTCTTATCTTTCGTAAATTTCTTTTGTAGTTTCTCCTTGATCCATATTTGCGCATGTTGAATTTTGAACAGAGTTAACTTTACTTATCAGTAATTGTATGAATAATTGAAAAGACAGAATTACTTAATTAATAATATATTCTTCAATGAATTTTCTATCAAAATGTTAGCTAGGTAACTTACTTTAAATTAAGGAAGTTGTAAGCAGGTAGGTTTTTAGTGGCTTATGAATCAACTGTTTGATAAGTTTAGATTGCTAGAGTAATCTCCCTTTTGCCATATAAAACCCTGCATTTGAAAACTATAGGCAATGGCAGCTGTTGAGGAGAGGGCGGTATGTGGAATTCAACCTTATCTATGACCGAGGGACAAAGTTTGGGCTGATGACTCCTGGAGCAAGATTTGAAAGTATACTCATGTCCCTACCTCTCCACGCAGTAAGTATTGATTAAAACACAGGAGAGGGGAGTTGTATGAATTTCTGTAAGGTTTATCTTCAAGGGGAGCTATATAACTTGGTGTAGAGCTTATGTATTAGGGTAGTTCTGAAATTTTTTGAAGGGTTAATGTATTGGGGGAGTTGTGTGACTTTGTGTAGGGTTTATGTAATGGGGGAGTTGTGTGACTTTGTGTGGGGTTTATGTATTGGAGGAGTTGTGTAACCTTGTGTAGGGTTTATGTATTGGGGGATTTGAGTGACTTTTTGTGTAGGGTTTATGTATTGGGGGAGTTATATAACAATGTGTAGGGTTTATGTATTGGGGGAGTTGTGTGACATTATGTAAAGTTTATGTATTAGGGGTGTTGTGTGACCTTGTGAAGGGTTTATGTATTGGGGGAGTTGTATGGCTTTATGTAGTGTTCATTTATTGGGGGAGTTATATAACATTGTGTAGGGTTTATGTATTGGGAGTGTTGTGTGACTTTCTGTTTAGGGTTGATGTATTGGGGGAGTTATATAACAGTGTGTAGGGTTTTTGTATTGGGGGAGTTTTGTGACTTTGTTCTCTACTTTGTGTAGGGTTGATGTATTGGGGGAGTTGTATGACTTTGTGTAGGGTTTATGTATTGGAGGAGTTGTGTGACATTATGTAAAGTTTATGTATTGGGGGAGTTGTGTAACCTTGTGTAGGGTTTATGTATGTGGGAATGTTTTGTGACTTTATGTAGGGTTTATGTATTGGGGGAGTTGCGTTACTTTATGTAGGGTTTATGTATTGGGGGAGTTATATAACAATGTGTAGGGTTTATGTATTGTAGTAGTTGTGTGACTTTATGTAGGGTTTATGTGTTGGGGGATTTGAGTGACTTTGTGTTTAGGGTTTAGGTATTGAGAGAGTTGTGTGACTTTCTGTTTAGGGTTTACGCATTGGGGGAGTTATATAACAGTGTGTAGGGTTTATGTATTGGAGGAGTTGTGTGACATTATGTAAAGTTTATGTATTGGGGGAGTTGTGTAATTTTGTTCTCTACTTTGTGTAGTGTTGATGTATTGGGGGAGTTGCATGACTTTGTGTAGGGTTTATGTGTTGGAGGAGTTGTGTGACATTATTTAAAGTTTATGTATTAGGGGAGTTGTGTAACCTCGTGTAGGGTTTATGTATTGGGAGTGTTGTGTGACTTTCTGTTTAGGGTTGATGTATTGGGGGAGTTGTAAGACTTTGTGTAGGGTTTATGTGTTGGAGGAGTTGTGTGACATTATTTAAAGTTTATGTATTAGGGGAGTTGTGTAACCTTGTGTAGGGTTTATGTATGTGGGAATGTTTTGTGACTTTATGTAGGGTTTATGTATTGGGGGATTTGAGTGACTTTTTGTGTAGGGCTTATGTATTGGGGGAGTTATATAACGGTGTGTAGGGTTTTTGTATTAGGGGCGTTTTGTGACTTTGTTCTCTACTTTGTGTAGTGTTGATGTATTGGGGGAGTTGCATGACTTTGTGTAGGGTTTATGTGTTGGAGGAGTTGTGTGACATTATTTAAAGTTTATGTATTAGGGGAGTTGTGTAACCTCGTGTAGGGTTTATGTATTGGGGGAGTTATATAACATTGTGTAGGGTTTATGTATTGGGGGAGATGTGTAACTTTGTGTAGAGTTTATGTATTGGGGGAGTTGTATGGCTTTATGTAGTGTTCATTTATTGGGGGAGTTATATAACATTGTGTAGGGTTTATGTATTGGAGGAGTTGTGTAACCTTGTGTAGGGTTTATGTATGTGGGAATGTTTTGTGACTTTATGTAGGGTTTATGTATTGGGGGATTTGAGTGACTTTGTGTTTAGGGTTTAGGTATTGAGAGAGTTGTGTGTCTTTCTGTTTAGGGTTTACGCATTGGGGGAGTTATATAACAGTGTGTAGGGTTTTTGTTTTGGGGGAGTTTTGTGACTTTGTTCTCTACTTTGTGTAGTGTTGATGTATTGGGGGAGTTGTATCTCTTTGTGGAGGGTTTATGTATTGGGAGAGCTATGTGACTTACTGTAGGGTTTTTGTATTGGGGGCGTTTTGTGACTTTGTTCTCTACTTTGTGTAGTGTTGATGTATTGGGGGAGTTGCATGACTTTGTGTAGGGTTTATGTGTTGGGGGATTTGAGTGACTTTGTGTTTAGGGTTTAGGTATTGAGAGAGTTGTGTGGCTTTCTGTTTAGGGTTTACGCATTGGGGGAGTTATATATCAGTGTGTAGGGTTTATGTGTTGGAGGAGTTGTGTGACATTATTTAAAGTTTATGTATTAGGGGAGTTGTGTAACCTTGTGTAGGGTTTATGTATGTGGGAATGTTTTGTGACTTTATGTAGGGTTTATGTATTGGGGGATTTGAGTGACTTTTTGTGTAGGGCTTATGTATTGGGGGAGTTGTGTAACTTTGTGTAGAGTTTATGTATTGGGGGAGTTGCGTTACTTTATGTAGGGTTTATGTATTGGGGGATTTGAGTGACTTTTTGTGTAGGGCTTATGTATTGGGGGAGTTGTGTAATTTTGTTCTCTACTTTGTGTAGTGTTGATGTATTGGGGGAGTTGCATGACTTTGTGTAGGGTTTATGTATTGGGGGAGTTGTATGACTTTGTGTAGGGTTTATGTATTGGGAGAGCTATGTGACTTAATGTAGGGTTTTTGTATTGGGGGAGTTGTGTGATTTTGTTCTCTACTTTGTGTAGGGTATATGTTCTTGGGAGTGGTATATTAAGATAACATGCCCTATTTATTTTCCACTGTTCGTCCTTTATTTTATTTTGTAAAATGCACCATTTCTGAAATATTGAGGGCATATCTCTTGTGTTTCTGTAATAATGCTATCCTCTCTGTATGTTACAGAAATGGGAATACTGCCACTCCCCCAGTGCAGGCTCCAAGGAAGAAGAGCTACTGAATGTTCTCAAAAACCCACAGGACTGGGTCTGACCCACAAATTAGTTCATCTGTCTTACAGGAAATTGAATGACTTTTCTATGATGTTTGTCCTTGGAACAAAGATTAGTTGCTATCGAAACTGAGAGCCAGGATGAGAGTGCATAGATTAATTGTCATCATAACGGGACCCAACCAATGGCAGTACATATGCAGTTGATTAGATATGCCTGGGCTTAGTATGGATTTGTCATCATAGGAACAGATAATTGAGCTTGACAACCAATAAATTAAATGCCATGGAACCCAGCGAATGAGAAGATGATGATTGCCTGACAAGCATGTTATTGTCATGTGTCTAAAGTGATTTGAATAAACTATGAATGATGATTTTGAAAAAGTGATTAGAAAATGTGTGATGGACAATTAATTAAATATTTAATCAGAGCTTTTTGTTAAAAGAAGATTGGGAGAAGTTTTACAGATGGACTGTTTTGGAACTCTTGTTTTTGTAGTATAGTATGCTATGTAGATTCTTACAGAGCTGTAACCATGGAAACCAGTATATAACTTAACCAGTGGTGGACATGTGATTGGTATACCAGGAAAAGAAGCTTTATATTTTTGTTAAGATGTAGCATTTGAATGTGAACTATTTCCGGAAGTTGCAAGCAAAATTGAAATGCATAGAAAGAGACCTAAAAATGGACACAGGAGTAATGTTAGTATATTTTTATATCAAATTGTGTTCTACTTCTAATCCCTTCATCCCAAAAGCTCACCAAGTCATTTTGTCACATGTGACTATAGTTGTCAGGGAGACTTGTATCCAGTGACTATAGTTATCTGGGAGACTTGTATCGAGTGACTATAGTTGTCTAGGAGACTTGTATTGAGTGACTATAGTTGTCTGGGAGATTTGTATCCTGTGAACACAGTTGTCTGAGAGATTTGTATCCTGTGACTACAGTTGTCTAGGAGACTTGTATCCAGTGACTATAGTTGTCTGGGAGGCTTGTATCCAGTGCCTATAGTTTTTCTGTGAGACTTTCACCGGTGAATACATTTGTCTTGGAGATTTGTAACCAGTGACTATAGATGTCTGGGAGATTTGTACCCAGTTACTGTAGTTGTTTAGGACATTTGTATCCTGTGACTATAGTTGTCAGGGAGATTTGTACCCAGTGACTATAGATGTCTGGGATATTTGTACCCAGTGACTATAGTTGTCTGGGAGATTTATATCCAGTGGCTATAGTTGTCTGGGATATTTGTATCTTGTGACTACAGTTGTCTGGAGAATTGTATCTAGTGACTACAGTTGTCCGGAGACTTGTATCCAGTGACCATAGTTGCCTAAGAGACTTGTATCCTTGTACTCAGTGACTATAGATGTCTGGGATATTTGGAGCCAGTGACTATAGTTGTCTCTGGAGAATTGTATCTAGTGACTACAGTTGTCTTGAGACTTGTACCCAGTGACTATAGTTGTCTGGAGACTTGTATCTAGTGACTAGAGTTGTCTGGGGACTTGTTTCCAGTGACTATAGTTGTCTGGAGACTTGTATCCAGTGACTATAGTTGTCTGGAGACTTGTATCTAGTGACTATAGTCGTCTGGAGACTTGTATCCAGTGACTATAGTTGTCTGGAGACTTGTACCCAGTGACTATAGTTGTCTGGAGACTTGTACTCAGTGACTATAGTTGTCTGGAGACTTGTATCTAGTGAATACAGTTGTCTGGAGACTTGTACCCAGTAACTATAGTTGTCTGGAGACTTTTATCTAGTGGCTACAGTTGTCTGGAGACTTGTACCCAGTAACTATAGTTGTCTAGAGACTTGTATCTAGTGAATACAGTTGTCTGGAGACCTGTACCCAGTAACTATAGTTGTCTGGAGACTTTTACCCAGTGACTATAGTTGTCTGGAGGCTTGTACCCAGTAACTATAGTTGTCTGGAGACTTTTACCCAGTGACTATAGTTGTCTGGAGGCTTGTACCCAGTAACTATAGTTGTCTGGAGACTTTTACCCAGTGACTATAGTTGTCTGGAGACTTGTACCCAGTGACTATAGTTGTCTGGAGAATTGTATCTAGTGACTACAGTTGTCTGGAGACTTATATCCAGTGACTATAGTTGTCTGGAGACTTGTACCCAGTAACTATAGTTGACTGGGGACTTGTACCCAGTAACTAGAGTTGTCTGGAGACTTGTCCCCAGTGACTATAGTTGTCCCCAGAATTGTATCTAGTGACTACATTTGTCTGGAGACTTGGACCCAGTAACTATAGTTGACTGGGGACTTGTACCCAGTAACGAGGGTTGTCTGGAGACTTGTACCCACTAACTATAGATGACTGGAGACTTGTATCTACTGACTACAGTTGTCTGGGGACTTGTACCCAGTGACAATAGTTGTCTGGAGACTTCTCCCCAGTGACTATAGTTGTCCCCAGAATTGTATCTAGTGACTACATTTGTCTGGAGACTTGTATCGAGTTACTATAGTTGTCTAGGACATTTGTATCTATTGACTAGAGTTGTCTGGGAGATTTGTACCCAGTGACTACAGTTGTCTTGAGACTTGTACCCAGTGCCTATAGTTGTCTGGAGACTTCTCCCCAGTGACTATAGTTGTCTGGAGACTTGTATCTAGTGACTACAGCTGTCTGGAGACTTGTATCTAGTGACTACATTTGTCTGGAGACTTGTACCCAGTAACTATAGTTTTCTAGGACATTTGCATCCAGTGACTATAGTTGTCTGGGGACTTGTTCCCAGTGACTATAGTTGTCTGGAGAATTGTACTCCGTAACTATAGTTGTCTAGGACATTTGTATCTATTGACTAGAGTTGTCTGGGAGATTTGTACCAAGTGACTACAGTTGTCTGGAGACTTGTACCCAGTGACTATAGTTGTCTGGATACTTGTATCTAGTGACTACAGTTGTCTGGAGACTTGTTTCTAGTGACTACAGTTGTCTGGAGACTTGTACCCAGTAACTATAGTTGTCTAGGACATTTGTATCCAGTGACTATAGTTGTCTGGAGACTTGTATCGAGTTACTATAGTTGTCTAGGAGACTTGTATCCAGTGACTATAGTTGTCAGGGAGATTTGTATCCAGTGTTTATAGTTGTCGGGGAGCCTTGTATCGAGTGACTAAAGTTGTCTAGGAGACTTGTATCCAGTGACTATAGTTGTCAGGGAGATTTGTATCCAGTGACTATAGTTGTCTGGGAGACTTGTATCCAGTGACTATAATTGTTTTGGAGACTTGTATCCAGTGACTATAGTTGCCTAAGAGACTTGTATCCAGTGACTATAGTTGTCTGTGAAACTTGTACCCAGTGACTATAGTTGTCTAGGACATTTGTATCTATTGACTAGAGTTGTCTGGGAGATTTGTACCAAGTGACTACAGTTGTCTGGAGACTTGTACCCAGAGATTATAGTTGTCTTGGATATTTGTACCCAGTGACTACAGTTCTCAGGGAGATTTTTACCCAGTGACTACAGTTGTCTGGGAGATTTGTAACCAGTGACTACAATTGTCTGGGAGATTTGTATCCAGTGACTACAGTTGTCGGGAGACTTGTACCCTGTTATTAATTTGTCTGGGAGATTTGTACCCAGTGACTACAGTTGTCTGAGAGATTTGTAACCAGTGACTACAGTTGTGAGGTAGGTTTGTACCCAGTGACTACAGTTGTCAGGGAGGTTTGTACCCAGTTATTAATTTGTCTGGGAGATTTGTACCCAGTAACTACAGTTTTCAGGGAGGTTTGTACCCAGTGACTAGAGTTGTCAGGGAGGTTTGTACCCAGTGACTACAGTTGACTTGGTGAGGTTCAGCGACACACTAGTCATGTTAATTACTTGTCTATGTTTGTACCCAGTCACTACAGTTGACTCGGTGAGGTTCTGGGACACACTAGTCATGTTAATTGTCTATGTTTGTACCCAGTGACTACAGTTGACTTGGTGAGGCTCAGCGACACACTAGTCATGTTAGTTACTTGTCTATGTTTGTACCCAGTCACTACAGTGGACTCGGTGAGGTTCTGGGACACACTAGTCATGTTACTTGAGTATGTTTGTACCCAGTGACTACAGTTGACTTGGTGAGGCTCAGCGACACACTAGTCATGTTAGTTACTTGTCTATGTTTGTACCCAGTCACTACAGTTGACTAGGTGAGGTTCTGGGACACACTAGTCATGTTACTTGAGTATGTTTGTACCCAGTGACTACAGTTGACTTGTTGAGGTTCTGGGACACACTAGTCATGTTAATTACTTGTCTTTGTTTGTACCCAGTGACTACAGTTGACTCGGCGAGGTTCTGGGACACACTAGTCATGTTAATTGTCTATGTTATTGACTCGGTGAGGTTCTGGGACACACTAGTCATGTTACTTGAGTATGTTTGTACCCAGTGACTACAGTTGACTTGGTGAGGTTCAGCGACACACTAGTCATGTTAATTACTTGTCTATGTTTGTACCCAGTGACTACAGTTGACTCGGTGAGGTTCTGGGGCACACAAGTCATGTTAATTACTTGTCTGTGTTTGTTGTTATGTTCTACTAATCATGCATGACATTTTAATATTTCAAAGTTAATGAAATTTTGACAATTTTTTTTCATTGATTTAAGATTTTATACTGTATTTTACACTTAATACTATAAGGTCACCTGGTATGGAGTTTATACTGTGGTGGGGAGTCTGTTGTCTAACATAAATCTTTATTATTATCAAGAGATGCATGGTAATTGTACACGTTTTGTAGCATCCTTCGGCAGAGAGCTATAAAATTTGTGAAAAAAACATTTTCTCACTCTCTATATCACATTTAAGCAACTTCTTCAGAATGGCTGAGAGACCTAGAGTCATACCAGGCCTTCAGCATGTAGATGTTAGGGGCTACCACTTTTGTTCCGATGAGTTACCTGATCCACTTTGAAAGAGGTAAAATGTGTCAAAATCATTAAACAACTTCTGATTAACAAAATGTCAAGGAACATGATATATGGCCTATATAATAACAACTCAAACAGATTCTTTAAAAGGTCCATAAAGTGTTACGATATTTGGCTTGAAAATAAACACTTTTTGCAAATAAATGACCTTCCCTCAGTTTCAAGGTCACATGAGACTGATTAAAGAGATATCATGAAAAATATCTTCAAATGGCTTATTTAAAAACATTCCTAAAGTCTAGAAGGAATGGAAGACAGTAAAATATGTGACATTGATCCTATTTCAAGGTCAGAGATGGAATGTGTTAAAATCTTCAAACAGAATCTTCTGAAGATGTTAAGCATTAAGCATGCTGGTGTGAAAGATATTTATTCAAATAAATAACCTTTACCAACTTTGAAGGTCGAATCAGTAAGATATAAGGAGTGGAGTTATGATATTTTGCTGGTAGTGATAGCTTGTATGCCATCAAATTTGCTTCAATAAATTTGACCTTGACTCATTTTGAAGGTCATAAATGTGAAATGTGTTTTTCAACAGATTGAATAACAGGTGAGCAATACATGCCCATTAGGGCTCTGGATGTGTATTGCACCCTCTGACCTCTGTATCTGTCTGTTCCTGTACAGACTGGAAAGATATGTATAAGTGTTATATTAAAAGATATATAATGATGAATGTTATATGACACCCTGTTTGTTGTTAATGGACTAAGTCACATCTTGATTGGGTATTGTTTTGAAACATCATCAGTATTGATTTTTACTCATCTTTTCCTGGTTATTATTTTCTTAAAAAAATGTCATTAACTCTCTAAAATATGAACCTAATCAGTTGGTTTATTAACGTAAAAATAAAATGAAGTTTAAATTTTTGATGATATTACAGACACTTCCTCAATTCTGATTGGCTGATGTTCCAGGACTTATTTTCCAGACTGTATCATACACTACCGGTGATGAGGCAATGACGGCTCACCTATTACAGGGTATCTAATCCTTTACTGATCAATCATAGAACATGATGATAATGACCTTTATCTTAGCCTGCTAAAAAAGTCTCTACTATTTGAAGTTTTGGCATGCCAATGATTAAATATCTCTACAAGTTGTAATTTCAAAGAAAAATGAAGACCTGTAACCATTACAATTTTTAAATATCAAAGGAAACTAATATCATCAAGTTCACACAAATCTTCATTTTTGAGAGATATATGCATAAAAATGTATATCTTAGAGAAAACAATTAAAACCACTCATTAAATGATTTCAGGACATTCATAACTAAGTTAATGTTTCCAGGATTCTCATGCATTGGGGTTGAACTGAAGTCAAACAAATATATTCCACATCCAAGAATTCCTGTAGAAGTCGAGTTTTACCGAAGCTAATGACTTTAACAGCTGTTTACCAACATCTACAGCTACTTCCATCATCCACAGCTATTTACCAACATGTACAGCTATTTACCAACATCCACAGCTATTTATCAACATGTACAGCTATTTACCAACATCAACAGATATTTACAAACATATACAGCTATTTACAAACAGCTACAACTACTTACTAACATCTACAGCTACTTAGCAACATCTACAGCTATTTACAAACATCTACAGCTACTTACCAACATCTACAGCTATTTACCAACATCTACAGCTACTTACCAACATCTACAGCCACTTACCAACATAAACAGCTACTGACTAACATCTACAGCTATTAACCAACATCTACAGCTACTTACCAACATCTACAGCCACTTACCAACATCTACAGCTACTTACCAACATCTACAACTATTTACCAACATCTACAGCTACTTACCAACATCTACAGCTACTTAACAACATCTACAGCTATTTACCAACATCTACAGCTACTTCCATCATCCACAGCTATTTACCAACATGTACAGCTATTTACCAATATCCACAGCTATTTATCAGCATGTACAGCTATTTACCAACATCAACAGATATTTACAAATATATACAGCTATTTACAAACAGCTACAACTACTTACTAACATCTACAGCTACTTAGCAACATCTACAGCTATTTACAAACATCTACAGCTATTTACCAACATCTACAGCTACTTACCAACATCTACAGCTACTTACCAACATCTACAGCTATTTACCAACATCTACAGCTACTTAACAACATCTACAGCTATTTACCAACATCTACAGCTACTTACCAACATCTACAGCTATTTACCAACATCTACAGCTATTTACCAACATCTACAGCTACTTACCAACATCTACAGCTATTTAACAACATCTACAGCTGTTTACCAACATCTACAGCTATTTACCAACATATACATCTACTTACCAACATCTTCAGCTATTTACCAACATCTACAGCTACTTACCAACATATACAGATATTTAACAACATCTACAGCTGTTTACCAACATCTACAACTTTACCATGTTGGTTAACACGTGTAGCTGTTTGAAACTATACTAACATTTCTTACGTAAAGAGATTGTAGGTTAAGTAGGGTGACATTTACTGTGAGAAGGTCTACTGTAGGCCATTTTTTGAGGCATAAGTGTGGTTTGCTGGAGTACAGTTGCAGAACTGTTTATGTGTGTTTAGGGAGTTGTCGCATCACTGTACACCTACATAACACTGCACTACGTTGACATTAAGGGAGTTGTCGCGTCACAGTACACCTACACAACACTGCACTACGTTGACATTAAGGGAGTTGTCACGTCTTATACAGGCACATAACACTGCACTGTGTTGACACAACCAAACCCCTGACGTGCTTTACACTCACCAAAGTGATGCAAGGTTGTGCACATTTGTGAATATCATAAAAATAACTAAAGCAGCAGGGGATGCAATAGAATTCCTTTACTTAACTTTTATGATCTAGTTTGAAGTCGTTAAATTCTGTTGTAAAATTTTATGTTATGAGAAGGAAATTAAGTTTCCACATGAGGTAAGGCTTTTATGACTTGATTGTTAAATTTTACTTTCAACAAATGGTATATGAAATTGCTTGTAATGCAGAGTTTAAGGCTTAGAGTACTTTTTATGGTTTTTCAAAAACTGCAAATAGATCAGGAAGAGTAGGAAGGGAAGGTAAATTTAACCTGAGGAAGCTTGCGCCACAGCTAGAACGTTTTGAATTTTCTTTTGATTAAACACACTGAAAACACAGTTAATACCAGTTCATCTGTGATATAGACCCTGACCTGTGGGGGGAGGTAATATAGAGCTCACAGCATACCAACTTATCTTATCTTGTACCAACTAGGAATTCTCTTACTAACTTTACGATATTCCAATACAGATTTAAGGGTCCTGCATTGGAGATCCAAATGCCCTGTAGTTATTACAGTGTCCATCTGTTAGTCCGTCCGTCATCTCAGAATCCAAAAAACTAATCTATTTAAATTTGACATACAATTTGTGATTTGTAGATGTGCAATAGGAGTTAAACATTTTCTTATGTCAAGATCAAGGTCACTGTTACCAAAAATGGACCATGGGGTTAAATGGTCCTTATCTCGGAGCAGTCTTTTTGAAATCTCACATGGTGATATGCTGCGATATGTAGATGTGCAAAAATGGTTTATATTGATTTTAAGAGCAAGGTTAAGGTCATCAACCAAAAAAGGCCAGGAGAAATACGGCTGTCTGTGTTATAGTCCAATACATTTAAGCATTGAACTGTGTTTGTATGGTATTTATGATCTATTTGAATGACACAGCTTTGCAAGCAAACATGATAATGCGCGCTAGCGCATTATGAGTTGTGTGCTTGCAAAGCTGTGTCATTCAAATAGATCATAAATACCATACAAAAACAGTTCAATACTTATATTTACATTTTTTCTGCCTCTTTATGTTCTTTTTTAACTTATAATTTATATTTAAAATTAAAAATGCCTGCCTTATCGACAGTTCACACAATTTCGTTCAATAGTTTGAACAGCGTATTGTTGCGTGCTGATTGGCAAACAAAGTAGTACTTTGAAATTTTAACAAACTCTTCAATTTTATTCCACAATTCAGTATCAATACAATTGCATATGGTATGTCTATAGAGTGATTTAAGTTTATCATTAGAACTCTGAGCTGAAAGTTAGATTTGAAATTGTTTCGGTTTTTCCCGGAACAAATTTCGCGCATGGACAAATACAATGAACACCGTAAATCTGACCTTGCCCTCCACGAGGGAGTTATTTTTGGAAGTTAATTCAAACTTTTCTCTTAGCTCATTTTGTGAAGAATCCAGGCGTGAATGTATTTGTTTATTGTATGGGAACTTGACAACAGTCGGTAGATTCTATAACAGCCTCGTTATTTGACATGTCGTCAGAAACTGAGGAATGGTGGATGGGAGACGCGTGAAACTGTTGCGTTTGAAGTGAGTGATCTTGCAACGGAGCACAGGTTTGTTACAAATGTCTGAAATGTTTATGTGTGCTGTGACTCATATCAGTAGGTCTGTAACATATGTGTCAGTAGGTCTATAGAATATGTGTATTTCAGACATTTGTAACGAACCCCTGTTGATCAGTGCAGTATAACAGACGATATTTCAAGTTGCATGAGCGTTAAAATTGTTTCCNTTAAAAGTGTTTTTTATTTTATTTTTTATTATGCACATACATTTACAATGACATTATCAAATCTCACAATGCCAAGCGATATTTCAGCAGCCGTCATGTTTATTTATATTGGATATTGTAGTTCTGGTCAGTGTTGTATTAATACGCTTGGAATTGTGTCTCGTGATGCATGGTAATTAAAGTCCCATCAACGACAAAGCTTTCAAAGAGGCTATATAGTGACAATGCCATGCAAATGTAAATATATACATTAACAAGCGCATCCACAATATGAAAAAAACATTTACTGTGTTATTGTTAGAATCAATATTTTATCTGAGAATCATACATTAAAAATCTGCCTTTGTCTAAGCTGGTGTAGTTAAATAGAAATACCTTGCTTTTAAACACTTGCTTTTGTCGTGGTAAAAGGGGAAACACTCACTACAAACAGGTGTATTATTATCAGGACAACTGGTGAAATGGGAATACAACTCTTGTCTTAATTGTCAGCAGATCTCATGAAATGAGAATCACCTTTCAGCATTTGTCTTTATCAGGAGATCTGGTGAAATGGGAATCACTCTCAAACATTTGTCTTCATCAGGAGATCTGGGGAAATGGGAATCCCCCTCCAAAATTTGTCTTTATCAGGAGATCTGGTGAGATGGGAATCACTCTCCAACATTTGTCTTTATCAGGAGATCTGGTGAAAGGGGAATCACTCTCCAACATTTGTCTTAATCAGGGGATCTGGTGAAAGGGGAATCACTCCCCATCATTTGTCTTATCAGGAGATCTGGTGAAGCGGGAATCACTCCCCAACATTTGTCTTAATCAGGAGATCTGGTGAAATGGGAATCATTTTCCCATCATTTGTCTTTTTCAGGAGATCTGGTGAAATGAGAATCACTCCCCATCATTTGTCTTATCAGGAGATCTGGTGAAATGGGAATCACTCTCCAACATTTGTTTTTTATTAGGAGATCTGGTGAAATGGGAATCTGAATAAGGATATAAGGGAATTTATCTCATCACTCTTTAACAACAATGAAAAATCAGCACAGAATGCCTAACAGAGTTAACATTTGTGCA